CCCAAGCTGCCAGTCCAAGGGTGTTGAGGTGCTCCAGTACTAATTCCTGACATTGCAGGACTGTGGGCTGACAGGGCCAAGCAAAGGTTATCATCATGTGATGTAGTGAGGTGCTTCACTGAGCAGCTCTCATGTGCACTTCTGAACCCTCATGCAGGTATCAAGTAAGCATTTACACTCAAACTAAATGTTTTCTCACAAAACCAAGTATAGGAATAATACCAAACTCATGAGTTTCCTGAGAGTAATTCCTCTCCATTTAGAAAACAGGAGGGGTCCAAGAAAGAACTTCTCTACAGGGAAGGAAGACAGGAAGGAAGGAAATGTGAATTACATACACCTCTAGATAAATTCCCCTTTAAAAAAAAAAAAAAAAAAAAAAAAAAAAAAAAAAAAAAGGAAGGAAATTAGAGTTAACTAAAAAGAGCATTTTTAGCATCACTGCACAAGCTGGGGAAAAAACCTTGGAAATCCTGGCCAAAGATAATGCTGCCTCCTCCTGTCCCTGCCAGGCTTGCCCCAGGCAGAGGGGAAAGGGCCATTTTTCACCCTTTTACCACTCTGAAGTTACAAATCACAGTCACCATTTGATGATCACCTCTCCCTATGTCGTCTTGGGTTTCTTTGTAATAAGGCTGTTAAAAAACATGTGTTTTCACTTTTTTATTATTATTAAAAAAGGATAACTCATAACTGAGCAAAGGCTCTGTTGATACAACAACATGTGGATTAAATCTGAAAAGAGAAGAAAGCTATTCTAACAAACTGACAATCCTGCTCAGAGGCCTTATATCCAGATTAGTGTAATAAATCATGAGGAAAGATTTCTCTTTGGCTGAAACAACCATTTATTTAGGCATGGAATAAGAGTATTTTAAAATTGCTCTGGACATTGTACACAAAAGACTTTCTCCATTTTTGATCTTTTTTGTTTGTTCATTTTCTGTTGAGTTTTAAGCATATACCCAGAGTTTTGCATTTGCTTTACTTAAAAATGGTTACTTTTGGTGCTTAAACCTCTGACAAGTCAGCCAGACAGCACCAGTGGGCTCCTACAGAAATAAGAGAAGAAAAAAGGAAGGAAAAAGTGGTTCTTGCTCCATTACATCATTACATTAGGGAGAAAACTGCCCAAAATTTAAGCTTTCCCCATTATGCTTCTCTCATGTGCTTTTACAGTTGTATTTGTTCCCTTAACCTCTATCAGCAGGGGTCTTTTCACTCTTTTTCTGCACTATTGCTACCTTCCCCTATCACACACCAATTGTCCCACAGTGGCTTCTGAGCCCAGCACAAGAACCTGCCCAGTCAGAACATCACTCTGGGGCAGGTGAACAGCAGGCAGCGGCTCAGAAACCCCAGCCACACCACCAGCCCCAAAACACGGCCCAGAATCGGCACTGGGCCTCCAGAGCCAAAATCAGGGCTTGGCAGAACCTAAGTACAACACTGAACTGTAACTATAGATGGGTCTAAGTACTGCATAATAAAAATCTAATTTGTACCTGGAGCTGATTTCAGAGCTAAAGCATCTAACAATTCCACTTAACACATTGTGCTGTGGGGATGGCATTGGCCAGCTCAGGCAAACGTGTCACCACAGAACACAGCTGGTTTCAAACAGCGACAAAAACCAAAACACCATCACCATAAAACAAAACTTTCAGCTCCACAGAAATGTTCTGTGAGGAAATATTACTCAAAAGTGGTAGAAAGTGTTTCCTACAAGCAAGGTAGAGCTCCTCTTCAGACATGATCTGAAATGTGTCTGGCTCCTGGATTACCATGACCTTTTAGAACATCCAAACTGTGGTAAAACACGAGGGGGATCTGCATATGGAATGGAGGATAACACTGAAGGGGAGAAGATTTTGGCTGAAACCTCTGCCATTCACAGTGTCAGTCCTGAAGTCACTTACAGAAATCACAGGAGTACAAGAAACACTCTTCAAACCCATTAAAAACCACAATCCCCAGTCACATAGACGAGATACTTTAACTCAGCAACTGTTTTTATCTCTGCCAGAGGAGTCCCTGTGTATTCCATTCCACCTTAAAATCCATCTGCCAGCCAGACAAATAAAAGGTTCCTCAGGAATTCCAGCTGATGCAGTCACTGGGAGGCCATCCCAGCCTGCCTGTCTGCTGTTGTATTCCCAACTCCCTCAAAGGATGCAGGGGCACATATCAGCCTGGATCTGTCCTGTCTGTGTCCCCTGCCCATTCCCTTTGCCCAGAGCAGCTGTGCCACCCTCCAGGAGAGCAGTGGGAGCTGGGAAGTGCCGAGTGCCTGCCCTTGTCCCAGGGCTGCTCTGCCCGGATGCCCAGACCTGCCTGCAGGGGCTGTCACCTCAGCTGCCTCACAGGCTGCAGGATCTCCCCAGGAGCTGCTTCCCACACACCTGCAGCCACCCACGGGGCTCAGGCAGCTCCTCCGCTGCTCTCCCACAAAGGGATGCTGGAGAAGCCCTGAGCAGGCAATCCCTCTTTGCCAAAAAGCTACCAAGGAGATGGAAGGTTCTGGGGGGACAGACAGGGAAAGTGCAAGAGGAGATTAAAAACTAGGAGAGGAAAAAGCAGGCCTGATCGGGACTTTTTCTTATTATTCTTTGAAGTCTTGTGGCCAACAGAGTTCATAGAAGTCTGGCACAATGATTCAGGACTCCAGAGCAAGTGCTGTCTCCTGGCTGAAGCACAGAACCTGCTTTGATAAACACTCCTGCGGTCAGTGTTTACTGTCCTTGGCCTGTGGACATTAAGGTTGCCCCTTGGAGTACAGCTGCCTGGCAGGGCACGCATGGCACTCTGGAAGGAATTGCTCAGTCAGCTGGCTCTGTGCACAACTGTCCCTGCCCTGTCTCCTGTCACACCCCCCCATACTCCTCTCCCATCCTGGAGAGGACAGGAGCACCCCGGAGCGGTAAGAGAAGCCAGCCAGCACCGGCACATTGCTCCCACAGCTCCGGGAACGCAGAGGCAGAGGGAGCCACAGCCTAGAGCCGAGCTCGGTGTGCAGGGGCGGCTCCAGCCCAGGGAACACGGGAACGCAGAGGGAGCCACAGCCTAGAGCCGAGCTCTGTGCCCTGCAGGGACGGCTCCAGCCCAGGAAACACGCCTGGCTCCTGCCAAGCTTCCCCAGGCTGGGGATGAGTCAGTGCTAATTGCTCACAATTAGCAATTCTGGGTCCCACCGGTTTGGTTTGGTTTTGTAAAAGCAAAACAAGGTATGTTTGGACAAAGGTGAGATTATGTTTGTGTTTACAGACAATCTGACTCCTGCATATAAATATGCTGTTCCTTGAACAAAAAACTAAAAACATCAGGAAATCAAAAGTAATGCAAATGATCTGGCTCTATAATCTTGCCAGAACAGAAGCGCCATGAAAGCAGTTGAATAATAATCATGGTCTTAAATTTGACTTCTCTGACTCCTGTTTTGTTCAATATTTTAATTACATTTTCAAAAAATTCTAAACCACTTCAGATTTCAAAGCACATTTTTATATATTGATTAATTCACCCAAGGTAAAAATCATTATCCTCTTTTTGACACAAGGAAAGTGAAAGGAGACACAACAAACTGTTAGTCAAAGACACTGATAGAACTGTTGGAAGGGCTGGTACTAAAACCCAAGAGTTTCTGAAATATCTTATATTTTTACCAAGGATTTACTTTTTTAAAGACAATAGCAACCAAAAAACAATATCCAAAATGGATACAGATTTAGGATCAGGGCAGTTTATGGGGTAAAGGCCATGACAAATGCAAATTCATTAATTCACATTTGGAAAATTGCAGTGAATTGTCTAATAAATTGTTGCTATATTCCATATAGAGCACAAGCATGAAATGAGCAGCACAGGCAGTCTTGCCTTGGATCACCGGTACCCAGCGTAATCCAGCTCCAGATTCCCACTTTCTGCTCTGGGGGCCAAGGACGTTTGCAGCAGGATTTCTCTGGAGAGCTGCAGGAGAATGTGGCTGCTCAGCTCCCTGGGTGATTCCATAGTGCCCTCTAACGAGGCTGCAGCTGCATTTCACACACACAGGGACACCAGGAAAACCCCAAATGAGCCTTGTCTCCACTTGAAAATGGGAAAGCAGATGACAGACACTAAGTGGTGACTGCTCCTGCACAGATATTTTATACTGCCCTGCACTGTGCAAGCCCTCGTTGGTAAACACCTCAGTAGGCAGCAGGACTATAGAGAAAGATGGAAAAATTCACAGTACTCCCATTCCAAGAGAAGAAAGGATACTGAGTAAGATGAAAGTTAACCCAGTACAACTTTCTAAGATAAACTGAATTTTACACAATCTGTAAGGAATTGCTAGGTAACTTTTCAACATATGATGTAGTTAAATCAAACTTTACAAAAATAAGTGAATAAAATCAATGAAGTTCACAAATCAAAATGGAATCTCCTTGAATATGTTCCTTAATACACTGGTGTACCATAGAATACTGACTATTTGGTCTGCACCCAAGAGTGGTCACACAGGCTGCAGTGGTGGAACAGGACTGGCTACAAGTTCATACAGCAGACACATGCTTTATTGCCCAGTTCCCTTTCACCCACCCATGTAAACTAATAAAGCATCCTGCAAACCAGAAAAGTTGTTATTGCGACACAAACTCCATGCTGATCCTCAGAGTAGAAATTCACTTAAATAATCACGTTGTCAGAATAGGGCTGTTCCTTGCCCTTGAAGCTGTACCTACAGCTATGCCAGGAGAGCAACAGCTGCTCAGTGTGGGCTCAGAAGAGTCACAGCAGCTCCTGTGCAGCTCCTGTCCCCTCCCTCCCCCATCCTGCACCAAGGCATCCCACTCAGGTGGGATCCCACTCAACACTCCAGCTGGGAGCAGAAGGTGCAAATGAGCTTTTTCCAAGCTCCTACAAGACAGAATAGAGAGGGGTAGAAGTTCCTGAAGCTGCACTGCCCTCATCCTGCCAGATGTGTGTCAGAAGCCTCTGAACAGACCTGGCAAACTCACCCCGAGGGAGGACAGTGGAGGCGTCACTGCTGGCGATATCTGGGGGACCCTGCTGCCACCAGGAGCTGCGAGGAAGCAAACAGGCCTGTGAGCACTTGGACACCGGGCAACTCAACACCTCAGCCCCACAGCCCCAGCAGGCACTTGGCTAATGCAGGCTGGGAGACAGACCTGGTAGGCAGCACATTCTTCCTTGAACTCATCTCATATACTTGCCAACTTCTTTACTTCTTGCTAAGCATTTTTACTGTAATGTTAAGATCATGAGGTGCAGTGAGGGGAGACCTCAGAGAAAGCTGCAGCTCCTCCCAGGGGGCAATGGAGGGGCAGCTCCCATCTCTGCTCTGGGACAGGGACAGGAGCCAGGGCACGGCTGGGGCTGGGCCAGGGCAGCTCAGGCTGGAGCTCAGGGCAAGGTTCTTCCCCCAGAGGGTGCTGGCACTGCCCAGGCTCCCCAGGGAATGGGCACGGCCCTGAGGCTGCCAGAGCTCCAGGAGCCTTTGGACAGCGCTGCCAGGGATGCCCAGGGTGGGCTTGTTGGGGGGTCTGGGCAGGGACAGGGGCTGGGCTGGGTGACCCTGGTGGGTCCCTCCCAGCTCAAGGGATTCTGTGATTCCATTTTGGTCACCAAAGACTAAGAACACCTTACCAATGCAATGAAACATGCAGGGAACCAACACCCTGACCCACACAGATTATCCATTTCAACAAGCACAGCACCTCCAGGAAAGCTCCACTCCATGCCTGCAGTGGCCACCACTGCTCACAAACAGCCCTGGAGGACACCCTCAGCTGCACAGGTAACAAAAACCTGCCCTGCTCCAGCTGAAACTGTAGCTTGAGCTTGTACAACCCAACTGCACTGCCCTCCTCAAACAGCCAAACTAATTTCCTTTTAGCTTCTAACACTGGGAGATTCAAGTCCCCAAGGAATATCTTCCAAAACTGTACAGGCAATTGTATAACCCAAGGAACCCACGTGGAGCAGTTTGATAGAGCCAGCGCTTCCCAAGCAGTGCTGAGTCCCTCCCGTGTGCTCGCTCACGTGTTCAAGCATTCCTCAAGCACTGCTACACTCCAGCCAACCCTCTTTCGGACAAAACACCTTATTCCTTGAGGAGATTCAGGCAGAGTTTGACATTACAAAGATCATCAGTGTGCAGACAGTGTCATGGCTGTTTTGAAAAAGAGACTTTTCTTTCATGAACATGTAACCCAAACAAGGCTCAGTGAATTGGTGTAAAATCAAAAATGATTAGACAGTCTCTTTTGAACCAGACCTACATCCTATTCAGCACAGAGTAAAAAGTGTAAAAAAATCCAAGAGCAAATTAATCCCTGAAACAAGTAAGTGAACCACAGCTGTGCAGAGCTGTAAGGGTAACGCATTGTTAGGCACTCTGCTTTTGAAGGCAAGATGAGCAACAGCCAAGAATAAATCACATTGTGTGGGTATCACAAACCATCGAATAAGCAAAAAAAGAAAAGCATTACATGAATCAAAAGTCTAAAATGACAGCAGCCAAACATTTAGACTTAACATGAAATGTGGCCATACCCTTGGCAGAGCTGGAGATGTAATAAAGAGGAAATTTTTTAAAGGCATTAAATCCATGTAGAGCTGGAGTGTGTCCTGCCCTGGCTCAGTAGCGTGGGACAAGGATCACAGCAATGCCCAGCCCAGCGATGGCACAGCAGCCAGGGCTCACTGTGCAAACACACCTGCAGCTTTGCTCTCCCAGACAGACTCGGAGATGGACTGAAGCACTGGGCAGAGAATTTGGCTGCTATATTATCACAAGAAAAAGAGGCTTTGATGCATTTATGTCAGTTGCTACCACGACAGGCAGGGGCAGGTATGGCTGCAGGAACAGCAGCCCCAGAGCAGGACACCAACAGGAACCATTCGTGATATGTCAGTTCCAAATTGGTTTCTAGGCTGTTACTGTTCAAATGTTTACACAACAGAAATTCGGCATTTTTTTCCTTTGCTTAATTCTTCCATTCTTCTTATTTATATCTCCTTTTTCTTCATTAGCGAATTCCTTCTTCACATTTACAGTGTGGCAGGTACAAGGAATACACAACATTGTCCATGGGATAGGGTCAGAGAAGGCACAGACTCCTCATGTGTTACAGGTGATCAGACAGAAGTTGAAGAGTTTTTAACTGCTCCTGGTCTGATCAAATTCCAAAACACTTCATCTTTCTTTACCTGCATTTCCACCTATTTATTGCAGAAGAAACTGCAAGGAGGATTATTCTGTAAGAATTAGAAACACATGATTTTTTTTTTCTTCTGTAGAAATGTCTTTGACAGAAGCAATTGCCTCAACCAGGTCTGCTCAGAGCCAGCAGGAGGGGCTGTGCCCAGAGAAGCAGCAAAGCTGAGACTGAATAAGCTGGTAATGACACAAGCAGGGTTTATTGCCTGATTCTCACCTGCAGCCCACAAAGCAGGATTTGCCCCAGGTCTCCCAGCAGGGAGTTCAGTTAGCACAGGTGGGAAAAGGACACTCTGCTCCTGACCTCAAACACCTGGACAAGGCTCTCACCTGCCAGGCCCAAGTTAATGCCACTTGGTCACACTGCAACACCAAACCTCCACGTGTATTCCAAAAGAGTGAAAGGCTTTTATCCTCTGGGAAAACAGCTTTCCAGACTTCCAATATCCCATGTATACACACCCCCTTCTTTCATTTTTCTGCAAGATTTTTTCAGGCGTTTATCACTGACATCTGCCATAATTCCTCCAACACCGCATCAATTTATCACACTTTCATTCAGATGAGAGATGAACATGTGAATCTGCAGGATGTTCAGCCCTTGGCATGTGTCCTGTTTTTGTTCCTCAGTTCCTAAGTGACCAGCCCTCCCTCCAGTGCCCCTGGTTACCAAGGAAGCTGCTTGAGGAGGCTGCCAGAGCACCAAGAATCCTCAGAGAGCTAAAAAAAAAATGTTTTTATTTAAAGACATATTACACAGACTCAGTAATTAGCTTTTGAATTAAATTACTAAAACTTGGTTCAGAAGAACACTCTTAATTCCAACAAAATGTCTTTGTGATTAGCCCAGAGGTGCCCTATGTCATTCCCTCTCCTCCCAGGTTACATCACTGCACACATCAGCAAGTTATTTAATGCACATTTGGGCAAATTATCTATTCACAGGAGCAGCAGCTTTGGTTGTCTAACTGAGCCTCTATGAACTGGCATCCACTTCTGTGTGAGGATCCCTCTGCACCACCTCAGAGCTGGGAACTCCCAGCACAGGCAGCTGCCCCTGCTGCCTCTCACCTCTGTCCACGCTGCCTCTGGAGAATCCCACAAGTTGCACTTGTTCCAGGTGTGCCAATTGCTGTTTGCAGTGGAAAAGAGCTATTTGTTCAGTTTAGTCCTTCTGTGTCTGCAGGGGCTCTGCGCGAGCAGCATCGCCCCTGCCCCATCAGAGAGGAGTGTGCTCACTGCTGAACTGCAACCACCTGCACAGCATTCCTACAGGCAGCACTGCTGCCTCAGGAACTCCAGAAAGAGCTTTTCTGATGGAGCATTTACATTCCAGAAGATGCATTTTGCTGGTTTTGCTCCAGATGTTAAAATTTGATTGTTTCTGCCCTACTGCTTGCCCAAACTGGCCTGGCCCTGAGACTGCCCAGGAGTCTGCTCTGAGCACACCTTCAGCCTTGAGAGCCTTCAGCTGAGGAGCTCCCAACACTGCCAGGCCTTCCCCTCTGGCCCAGCTCCTCCTGGAACCACCCTCCACCACTGCTGGGAAACTAGGTCACATTTAACAGAATTTGTGTCGCTGTGCCTCAGTTAGCAGATCCTGCTGCGTGCTTTGGGAAGGCTGACAGGATCCAACTGTGGGAGAACTTCCCACAGGCATGGATTTCCAGAGTGCCTGAGTCACTCCTCAGCTCTCTTCTCTTGAATGTGCCCGAGTAAGCTGATCTTATTCAGGGCTTGTTTTCTAGAACCAGAGCATTTCTGTGGCCTGCCCTGAACTCCCCAGGATGTTTCTGTCACAGTGGAGAGCTCCTGGAACCCTGGCAGCCCGTTCTAACCACGAGCACACACATGGTCACTGCAGCTTGATTTTCTTTAGAAAAACTGCAAACCACACCAGCAATCAACTCCTCCCCCAGCAGTGCAGTTCAGATGGTGCCACTGATGCACCTGTGTCCTGCCAGTCCACCCCCACCAGTGCCTGTGGTGGGAAGCCGTTGTGGTATCAAGATCCTCCTGCCACGTAGAACTACCCAGACAGGCAGGCCAGGCCAGCAGCACCTCGTCCCTGCCATGTCCCCTCTGTGTCAGCAGGGACCCCGGAAGCAAAGGTGACACAGCTGCTTTGGGCTCAGCCAGGGACTGAACCAAGGTGTGGGGAGCAGCTGGTCCCTACCCATCCACGGCTTCCATTTCACAGCTGAGGCACGGTTTGTCCTAAGGCTATTCTTACATTTTGTATGGCAACACCACCTGCTTCATTAACTTGTCAAGTTGCACTAGAGTTCAGTTCCTTGGAAAGTCCAAGTACGTGGTTCTAAGCATTCATCAGTTGACTCAGAAGCTGAAATCCCTTCCCAAGAAGGAACACCAGTGGAGGGATCTCCTTTCCAACCACACGTGGGTTAACTTTTAATCTTTACATTCATTACATCTGCAGGATCCAATTAGACACAAAATTTTAGCCGCTCATTTTATTCCACTCCTGCTGTTGTCATCACAGTCAAACGGTCAGACAAACTGTATTTTTTTTCCTAAACCACACTTTATCTTTCCATGTGTGGACAATACCCAATTCCACTGACTCTTTTTTCCCATTCTCTGCAACGTTTTAAATCGGTGGCAGGGAGCCCAACCAGTTTGTTTCAGACCGAAACCCGACAGCCGCACGCAGGGCTGCGGCCGATGTCTCTGGTTTGTTAACTGCCCTTAACTCGCCCCAGCCCGTGTGACCGCTGTGCCTCCGCCCCGCCGCGCCGCGGAGCTGGAGGTGCAATCCCCGCTGGTTCTCACCGTGCTCTCCGCCCCGCTCCCCGCAGGCACCGGCTCCTCGCCCAGCCCTCAGCCCGGCCCGCTCCGCTCCGCCACACCGGCACGGCCCCGCCAGCCCCGGAGCCGCTTCGTGCGCCGCGCTGCCCACTGGCCGCTCCTCTGGGCGTCCGAGCCGCACGGAGCCGCTCCGGGGCGGGTGCCCGGGCCTGGCCGGCCCCGCTCGGAGCCCGAGCCGCTCCGGGGCGGGTGCCCGGGCCGGGCCGGCCCCGCTCGCTCCGGGCCCGCCCGGGACTCACCTGGCACCGCCGGTCCGCCGCTCAAAGCCTTCCCCGGCGCTCCGCGCCGCAAACGCCAGCGGTCCCGGAACGTCTCGCGCACGGCGCCGCGCCCCCATCGGTCTCCTGTTCCGGGACACCGACGCGCGGCGCCGCCAGGGGGCGATGTCGCCCGCGGCAGCGCGCGAGCCCGGGGGGCTCTACCGTATGTACCGGAGTGCGGCGCCGCCTGTGCCTACCGTACTTGCTGTAGTTAACTCGCACCCACACGGCCGTGAGACTATCTACTATTTTAAATTTACGTTAAATATTTTATTCAAGGAAGCTCCCAAAGCGGTATTTTGGCCGCGGCTCGCTTCTGGCGGCTGCTCAGGAGCTCTCTGGTGCCCTCAGCCAGCAGCATCCCCCCGGTGCCCGCTCAGCTGTGGCCGCCGCTCTCACCGCTCTGCCCCGCCGGGTCCGGCCGCCTGCCGCGGTCCGTGTGCCATTCCGGGCTCCGTGTCCCCCTCCCCGCCCCTCCCAGGTCCATGTCCCGGGCTCAGTGTCCTCCCTTCTCGGCCCGTGTCACATCCCGGGCTGTGTCTCCTCCCGCCGCCCAGGGGAGGAGCGGAGCGGGCAGAGGTGGCCGCGCTCTCCCGCCCCGCCCCGGCAGGTGCGGCCCCGCTCGGCTCCGCTCCCGTTCCCGTTCCCGTTCCCGTAGCCCGGCCATGGCGTACCGGGAGCTGGTGCGGCGCTGGCACGAGGCCGTGCGGGCGGCGGACCGCGGGCACTGGGACGCTGCCCTGGACACCTTCGGCGGCATCGCGGAGCCTCCGGCCAGGATCTGCTTCAACGTGGGCTGCGTGCAGCTGCTGGCCGGGCGGCCCGAGGCGGCGCTGCGGGTGAGCGGGCCGGGAGCGGGGGGATCCCGGGCACGGGCGGATCCCGGGCACGGGCGGCTCGGCTCCCCCGGGTCCGTCTCGGAGGGAATGATGCTGAAACTAGATCTGGAATCCGGCGTTTCGTGTCCAGCAGGAATGCGAGCGGGGATGTTGAAGGGTGAATGCTCGGAGGAAAAGGTTTAGCAGAGTGACTCTCAGAAAAGTGAAGAAGTTGGAAGTTAAAAAGGCGGATGTGACTGTCGGGGACAGGGTTCAGTGGTGAACTCAGTGGTGCCTGGTTCACAGTTGGACTCGATCTTTGAGACCTTTTCCAACCTTAATGATTCTGTGATTCCATGGTTCTCTAAATACTATGGAAATCCAGATCAGTGGGCAGAATCATTTTGAAACAAGATAATAGAGAGTACTTAAATTAGATATTGGTAACTGCATCTGGCAATGTACCTTAAGTTTTGTTAAAGCTAAATCAGTTAAAATCCTGTCCTTTAGGTGAACTTAGCTCATTATCATGTGAAAGCCACACCTCTAAAGCTCAGCCTGCCTGATTCCAAGAGAAGACTTCAACCCACTGGACATGCACAATTATTGTAGCTTTAAATCAAAGCAGGAAAAAGATTGTCCAATAGCTGTTCTGGGTGTGAGTTTAGACACGAGATGGGTGTATTTTGAAAGTACAAGTATGTTGCTTGGCAGTGGAGACTGCCAGAACAAAGCTGCTGTGCCGGAAAACCACTGTCCTTGGGAAGGGAGAAGAGGTGCCCTGAGGAAAAGCCTTTTTGTGACAGCACCTGTTGTGTCTGCACATCCATCCATCCATCCATCCATCCATCCATCCATCCATCCATCTTCAGGGAGGAGATGCAGATAAACCTTTTCTTCAAACAGTGTAAGGAGGAGCTGAGGCTGTGCTGGAGGGGCCGGGGCAGCGCCGTGGAGCCCTGGGCAAGCAGTGGCTGTTTGGGACACAGTGAGCACACGGCAGTGGTGCCATGGAGACGAGGGAGAGAGCTCAGGAGAGACTTCTGAGCCCCAGCCAAGGGGCAGTGACTGGGAAGAAGCTCAGCTCTCCTTCCGTGTGGATCGAGGGTTGGTTGTTGTTATTTCAGTTGTGGCCCAGGGAGGCAGACGTTCCAGCACGGTGTGTGGGGTCACGGGGACTCACCTTCCCTGCAGTGCTGTCCCTGTGCAGGCAGGGCAGGCAGGGCTGGGCTTTCAGCACTTGTTGTCCCCATGAGGTGTCTGCAGTGGCAAGGGAAGGAGCACACCCCTGCTGCTGCCCCAGGAGGACTCCTGGCTCTCCCAGCACGCTGAACCATGAGCTGCTACCACAAGCACTGCCTGTTTTTAACTGGGGCACTGAAGCAGAAATACCGACTTAGAGACCATTGTGAGAAGCCCTGCAGCTTCCTCCCTCTCACCCTTTCATCACCTCACCCTTCCCCAGCCTGGCCAGTCCTGCTGCTCCCACTGGCTTCAGGCTACAGTTTTCCCATTATAAGAAGCCGGATGGCCAATGCAGCTCATTTATGTCCAGTCCATTGTAGCAAGGAGGGGTAAAAGCTTGAAACTCAGCTCACACACAGCCAAGACCTGAAGGATGGCTGGGAGCTGTGTCGGCCCTTGGAGCTCGGCAAGAGCCCAGGGGTTGCCTCTTTGAGGGCAGCTGGGACGTGGCTGGCTGGGTGTGTGTGCCCAGGCACTGACAGGACAGATCCCAGCTGATCCCTGCCTGTGTTTTTCTCCTCAGGCATTCAATAAAACCATTGAGAAGGACAATTCCCTGGCTGTGGGCTACTTCCAGAGAGGGTTTGTCCACCTGCAGCTGGAAATGTGAGTGAGGTGCACAGCCAGTGCAGTCTTTGGTTCTCTCCTTTCAGTCCTGCTTTATTCCTAAACCTAAATGATTCTTTGATTCCAGAATTCACTTCTTCCAGCAACCTTACAGGGTTCACAGGGTCTGCTTTAGCCTTGGAAACCTTGTCACAGGTCAACAAGTCTTGTCTCGATAAGAGCTGCACAACTCTGGGGCTCCAGGGGTGGCTGACACATGACATTGTTGTCCCCTACATACGGAGACTCCTGGATGCAAGGCTGCCACAATGTTATGTTGCCATTCAGATTTTCTCTGGAAATTTAAAAAAATATAATTGTGCTGATTGGTGTGTCTTCTCATGACACACATTAGTCTGGCCTTCCTAAAAATGCAGCCTGCACACTCTCCTGCAACTCAAACGAACTTTGGGGGTCTGATCTCAGTCTCACTGATAAAATATTGAGGTTGCTCTAGAAGTGTCATGAGATTGATTACTCATTGTTTCCACAGTTAAATCACAGTGACATCCTCCTCAGGGAGCTGGGTGAAGTATTTTACAGATCTTGTCTTACCTTTGAGCTCAGTTATTGTCTTTCCTGTTGTTTTCCCCATGTTTCCCAGACCTTAATCTCCACAAAATGTCTGTCTTTATTTCTGGAAGGGAGTTAAAGTGAGCAGTTCTGGCTTCTCCAGGAGAGGGGCTGTGCCTGGGGCTGGTGGAGCCCCAGGCAGGGCTCTCTGGAGCTGCTCCAGCAGCAGCAGAAGCAAACATGCCCCAAGCACAGCCACTGCAGGGGCAGCACACCTGGCAGCTGCCTCCTGCCCAAAAAGCTGATGGCCTCCAGGGCTCTCTCCTTCATCAGAAACTGCTCCCACCCCCCAACACCCACCTGGGCACCTTCTCTTGGCCGGGTGCCCACTGCACAGCCGTTCCTGGGCCCTTCCTTTCACTACCTGCAGCCTCAGTGGGCACCTGCTTGGATTTCAGTTGCATAGCTGGTGTAAATTCAGACTAATACCCTCCTTATCCACAGAGATTCTCTAAATTTCTAAATGCTGAGGTTCTAAATTTTGAGTTTCTCAATGTCGATGCTCTGGCCATGTGTGTGCCCTCCCTGGTCCCCACCAGTCAGGTTCCCAGCCCTCAATCCTCCTGGGACATGTGCTGGGACAGGCAGGGAGCTCCCAGCAGTGGGTAACCTTGCTTCTTTATAATGCAGCTCTCCTTGCACAGGCTACAGAGCAGAACACATGTTATTTGCTAGTGTGATTTTTAAGCTTTTTAAACAGTCTCTAGCTGTTTTAGGCTCAGTTTCTTGTGTCACCTCTGCATTGCAGGTATGAAGAAGCTCTCTCTGACTATCACATGGCCTTCAGTCACCTAAGAGAAAATCCCTTCATTGATTACAAGCAGCTGGGGCTGAGGCACATCCTCTATGCCTGGGAGGTAAGAGTCAGCCTGGTTCAGCAATCCTTCCCCACTGTTGGGGGTGTCAGTAGCAGGGATTAGTGACCTAAGACTTTTCCAAGAAAGTACATTAGAACTGTAAAAATATTCTGCTTGCACTTTTTTAAAAGTAACTTAATCATAAAAGTTGTAAACTAACATAATCTCTGGAAATTTAGCAAATGATGCAGTTTGAAAAGTAAAATTGTTCAGAGCAGGTGCACAGGAATTTCTATATTGAAGGATTTTTATTTTCTCTATATGTAGACAAAGTGGTGGCTGCCCCATCCCTGGAACTGTCCAAGGCCAGGCTGGACGGGGCTTGGAGCAACCTGGTCTGTAGAAAGTGTCCCTGCCCATGGCAGGGGTGGAACTGGGAGCTTTAAGGTCCTTCCCAACCCAAACCGGTCTGGGATTCTGTGTAATATTTACACTTGGATGTAAACACACATGGAAGTTTAGTGAACGCCTTAGCTCTCAGAGTTCGTTGACAGATAAGAACAGAGCTGATGCAAAATGTATGCTGTAGGAAAGTCAGGTGCATGAAAGCCTCTTTCCAGCTGCAACAACTGATCTTAATATTCCCTCTGTGCCTGAACTCACACCCCATGCTCAGGCTGTGTTTGTAATGCTTCATCTGCACCTCTTACTGTCACACAGAGCCAACCGGCTACATCCTGTTCAAGGAAGCTCAAAGGCTGAGCTGATTGTAAATTTTTGCAACATTTGGACATATGTAAAGGATTCCTAGAAACTGTCCTTTACTGGAAGGGTTCATTTTGTTTTCTTTGAGTCCACATACACAGATTGAAAAGCAGATACAGGAAAGAGAATTTAACTCCTTACTTCCGTGAGAGTGAGGAGTCATTGTGTAACTCCAGCCAAGCATCTCAGCCATTTTCATGCACCTTATACCTGGCAGGAGGAAGCTATCCTTGGCATCCGTGGTATTACCCAACCTCCCTGGCTTTAACAGCTTCAGTGCCACGGCACTGCCTTCTCTTGGAAATGAGCAGTTCCCTGAGAAAGGGGCAGGGCTCAGGAGTGTCCCTCCCATGGTGGGGCCCTTCCTGATGTGGACACACAACCCATTACTCCAGGCATCACCGGGACATATGCTGGCCCTCCAGACTTGGGATCAGCATCCTGATTCAGCTGTATCTCATTCTTACCTGGAGCTCATTTTTCAAAATACACAAACATCATCCTCCAGCAGAATTGTGCTATCAGATTTCCCATGCATGGCCTCTCATGTGCTGCAGCTGATCTCCTCGTGGGATATACATGTGTGGTTTGAAAACCCAGAAATATTTGCCTCTTGCAAGGCTGTGACACTTCTGACTGAGTGAGAACTGCTGCCTTGCCTCCTGAGAGTCCCTGCAGTTCTGTACATGCTCAGGGTTGCCATTCCCCACACTCCCAAACAGAGTCTTCTACTGCCATGGTTAAGTAGTAAAGGAAAAGCATCCAATGAGCTCCAGCTCGTCCTGCTTGTGCTGAGCAGGGCATGCAGCCAGGTACACACCTCAATTCCCAGCTGATAACCCTATCACAGGAGATAAGGAGCTGTCTGACAGTGCTCTGGCTGTGGCCCAGCTGGCCAGTGACAGGGAGAGATCTCCCACTCTCAGTGTAGACCACAGCTCTCCAACACCCTATCTGCAATACTCCCACAGCCTGCTCTTCCCCGGGAACAGAATGACATGCTGCTGAAGGGTGACAAGCTACAGCTGACAGTTTGCACATTCACAGCCCACTACAACATGAAATAGTTTCAGTTAAGCTATTTTGCAGTGACAGGGAGTCAGGATTACAAAAATCATTATCTAGTTGCATGCAGAAAAATACCCAAGGAAAGCTTCCTGGCCTTTTGGATGCTGGAAGGATCAGAATTAAACAGTGTGCTAGCAAAGTCTTCACCTGCTGTCCTCATGTCTCTCATCACCCTGACCAGCAGCTCCAGCACACCCAAGCTTTTGTTTTTCCTTTCTGATTGTGAAATGTTCCCAGCTATGCTGCTCAGAGTGCCTCTCCTGTTGCTGAACTCTTGGTGCTTTAGTGCCTGTCCCTATTTCTTGGCTGAGCTCAGGAGGATGTGTTGGGTGTCCCTTGGTCTTGGCCCTCTGAGTCCCTTCCCTGTGCCCACTCCAGGTGCTGTACAGCACTGCAGCAGTGCAGTGCCACCTGCAGCAGTGGCAGGAGGCCAGAGTCACCCTGGAGAAGGCTGTTGTGTGGAGACCTGAAAGAAGAACAGCAATCCTGGAGCTGGCCCTGGAGCGGGTGCAGGTAAGGCCACATCTGTGAGCTCCTGGGAGTGTGCATTGGGCTTCAGCTCAGTGATGTGTGCTAAAAGTTGTCATTTTGAGTGTTCCTGACATCTGCATGTTCCTGCCATCCATCCACCTGCTTGGCCACCTGCTAGCACAGTCTAAGCCATTTGTACATGATGCTCTGCCAAACCAGGGCTTCAGGTGATCAAGGAACCCCATCACTCCCAGGTGCTTCACTGCCCAGAAATGCCATAGTGAAGAATTTTGGGATGACCTCTGAGGCTGGGGACATGGCTTCCTGGTCCCTCATGTTCAGGAGCTCAGTTCCATTTGTACTTGTCCTGCAAAACCAGTTTCCTTGTGCAGTGTTTCAAGTGCAGAAGCCCTACAAGTGCAGGTCTGGAGAGTCTCCCTTTTCGTGGCACTGGCTGGCTTCTTTTGAGTCCCTTTGGCCTCAGGAACAATTGGTGGCAGTTCAGATATTAATGTCAATCACTTTTAGAGCTTAAGTAGGGTGTGAAAGTGTTTCTAGGGCTGCTTCCAAGTAAAAGTTTCCTGTTAGACTCCTTTATGATCTGAAAACATTTGCAGATCTCTGATTTACTCTTCCTGAAGGATTCATTAGTGTGCTACCTTCATATTTTTTAAGAGGTTCATACTTTGTCTTTAATCAGATCATCTCTTCTGGCATCACATTTGTGCTTTTCCAGTGTATTATTTATATTTGCTATTAGCACGCTACTCAGTGGCTGAACAGAAAACATCTGAAGTCAAACAGAAAACATCTAAAGTCAAACAGAAAAGGTGTTTAGAAGATTTGTTTGATAAACCTTCCTGCACTGCCCCCCTTCCCACACACCCCATGCCAGCAGTGTCAGTCCTTGCCTCCACAATGGGGAGGGGCTGCTGAGCTCTCAGTTTGCTCATGCTTTTGTGGAGCCTGAGTGGCGTTTGTCAAGTTCACAGCTGAAACTTTTGGCCCAATGTCTTCCTGGAGCTGCTCTTGCACACCTAAGCTGTGTTTGGTTTTCAGGGCTCTGATGTTTCATTCAATGCGAACTGATGGCTTTTCCTTTACCTGCTGTCCCCACCCCAGGACCACCTGTTTTTAGAGCCCATGCTGGTTCCTCTCGGGGAACTTTTCAGACCACGAAAGAAGGAAGTTGAGCACCTGGATTCAAAAGATTTCCTGGGTAAACCCAAGGTAACAGGCACGTAATTGTCACAGTTAACAGCACCAGAAAAAAATCTTGCCTCTGCCATCTCCAGAGAGCAGTGCTGTGTGGGCAGCCAGAGCAGGATGGGCAGAGCTTGCAGCCAGTTTAGGCAGTTGGGACACAGAAGCCAAAATTTGTTAGAATTCCTACCCCTTCTACCAAAAAAATGCACTTTGGCACTAAAATACCTTCCCAGTCTTGGTCACTTTAAAGTCTGAAGGGGCTGAGCAGGTACTCTGGGAACCCATGGTTGTCCTTTTGCTGACAATGATGTTTTTAAGAGGAGCATGTTGTCCCAGCATGTTGCTGCTCTGTCCTGCATTCCCAGGGGGACAGGTTGCCACTAAGGGGACAAATGCTTTGTCACATCCCTTAATACAAGGCAGCAGAGAATTTCTCTGACCCTTTCTGTGACCAGTGCAGTCAGAACAGAGAGTTCCAAAACAAATAAAGGAAAGTAATAAATTCACATACTTTTAAAGAAACCTTGGAAAGACTAAAAAACTGGGACACAAATGGTTGAGGTTGTATTGGGAATCCAGCTCTGCCTCTCCCACTGTATGTACAGGTCCACATTTTGCCTGACCTTGGGATGCCAAAAGGAAATGGGTCTGAGCAGATAATATTGGATGATGTTTGGGGGTCTCTTCGTCCAGCCTAGATTCACTCACTGCTTTGTTCTCCAACAGGTCATCTCATCCATCATTCCTAACGATGAGTACATTGGCTTCGAGCCTCTCAGGCCTCAGGTGAGCAGGACAGGGCTGTGAAAGGAGGAATGGAGCTGTCGTGGAGCTCCAGAAAGGGGCTCAGATCCAAACCATCAGGAAAAGGAAGAGTGGACTCTTGGTAAAACCAGTGCAACACCAGCCTGGATCCATCCAGGCTCAGCACTGGCTGTAAGGGACTCAGTGATGGGAATCTCCAGCCCTTTGAAGATGCATTTTTGGGTCTTCACCATGTCAAAACAGCTTTGCTGTGCTCAGCCTGTCTCTGCTCATCACTTCAGTAAATGTGTCAGTGTGAGCAGAGCTGCCTTCCACTGTACTGGGAGTTCCTTGGAAGGGGAGGGGGAAGAGATTGTCTTACTTCCTGATGAGATAAAGAGGGAGGGGAAGGAAGAGAAGGCACATCCTGGTAAGGTGTGGAGCAGCAGACTTTTTCTGGGTGGTGTGGAATGACAAATGGAGTAAGAGTCAGGAGGTAAGATGGCACTGCTGGTGTAGGAGGCACTGTTACAAACAGATCCTGTTGTTTCTCCCACAGAAACAGGGCTTTTATGAACCCAGTGCCGATGCTCTGCGGTGAGTGTTCAGTCCCACCTTGGTCTTACCCTTCTCTCGCTACTGTTCAGAAAGTCTTTTATTCTCTGGCTTCTTTGTGTGAAGACACTGAGGGATCCATACCCTCTCTGACCAGGGGTGAAGTGAATGACAAACAAACAAAGGCTTCTGTGGCTGCAAAGGATGCTGCAGGTCCCTGGCATCTCTGCAAGAGCCTCTGGGCAGTGTGCAGGACTTGATTCAATGGTCCTGGGAGACCGGCATGGATCGTGGCATGCCTGGGGAATGGAAGCAGACAGAGGTTGTGGGACCTGCCTAGGTCTGTGGCAGAGGATGCTCAACTTTCCCTTCTTAATTCCAAGGACAATTCCAAATACTAACAGCCCTAGTGTCCTGAGCCAAAACTATGTTCAAACCCCAAGAAGGTAATTTGTTTTGGTGATATCGCACCAGCAGTACTTCAGGGCTGTGTCAAATAACTGTTTTGATGTTGACATTGATTATCAGTACAATGCAAATAGAGCTGCATTTGGCAAATCAGTGTTTCCCAAGCCCCTTTTGTTCCCAGTTGGACCGAAGAGCAGCAATGGAAATCCCAATTTCCCAAGACCCTCACCCTACAGCCCGTGCCAGCTGGGGCCTGTGCACTGTGGTGGCTCAGGGCCGTCAGCACTGCGCCCCAGGCCGGTGCAGCGTTCTCCTCTCCCCGCAGGGATGCCGAGTCCGGCTACCACCGAGTGCTGTCCCGGTACCGCCCCGAGGAGCCGTCGGGGCCGGAGGTGGCGGCCGGGAGCCTGGTGTTCGTGCTGGGCAGAGCGGCAGACGGCTGGGCTACGGCCATCCACGACGGGCAGGTGAGGGACACGGCCCCGAAGGTGCTGAGGGAGGGACACGGCCCCGAGGGTAATGAGGGAGGGACACGGCCCCGAGGGTAATGAGGGAGGGAAACGGCCCCGAGGGTAATGAGGGAGGGACACGGCCCCGAGGGCAGGGCAGGGACACGGCCCCGAGGGTGCTGAGGGACACGGCCCCGAGGGTGCTGAGGGACATGGCCCCGAGGGTAATGAGAGAGGGACACAGCCCCGAGGGTAATGAGGGAGGGACACGGCCCCGAGGGTAATGAGGGACACAGCCCCGAGGGCAGGGCAGGGACACGGCCCCGAGGGTAATGAGGGACACAGCCCCGAGGGCAGGGCAGGGACACGGCCCCGAGGGTGCTGAGGGAGGGACACGGCCCCGAGGGCAGGGCAGGGACACGGCCCCGAGGGTGCTGAGGGACACGGCCCCGAGGGTGCTGAGGGACACGGCCCCGAGGGTGCTGAGGGACATGGCCCCGAGGGTGCTGAGGGAGGACACGGCCCCGAGGGTAATGAGGGAGGGAAACGGCCCCGAGGGTGCTGAGGGAGGGACACGGCCCCGAGGGCAGGGCAGGGACACGGCCCCGAGGGTGCTGAGGGACACGGCCCCGAGGGTGCTGAGGGACACGGCCCCGAGGGTGCTGAGGGACATGGCCCCGAGGGTGCTGAGGGAGGACACGGCCCCGAGGGTAATGAGGGAGGGAAACGGCCCCGAGGGTGCTGAGGGAGGGACACGGCCCCGAGGGCAGGGCAGGGACACGGCCCCGAGGGTGCTGAGGGACACGGCCCCGAGGGTGCTGAGGGACATGGCCCCGAGGGTAATGAGAGAGGGACACGGCCCCGAAGGTGCTGAGGGAGGGACACGGCCCCGAGGGTAATGAGGGAGGGACATGGCCCCGAGGGTAATGAGGGAGGGACACGGCCCCGAGGGTAATGAGGGAGGGACACGGCCCCGAGGGTAATGAGGGACACAGCCCCGAGGGCAGGGCAGGGACACGGCCCCGAGGGTAATGAGGGACACAGCCCCGAGGGCAGGGCAGGGACACGGCCCCGAGGGTGCTGAGGGAGGGACACGGCCCCGAGGGCAGGGCAGGGACACAGCCCCAAGGGCAGGGCAGGGACATGGCCCCGAGGGTGCTGAGGGACACAGCCCCGAGGGCAGGGCAGGGACACGGCCCCGAGGGCAGGGCTTGGCCCCAGCACCCCTGAGCACAGTCCTCAGGAGCTCCTTCCCACACCCCCAGATTTCCTGACACTGGGCTCTCACCGGCCTCTGCCATTCACCTCTGTAGATCCACAAGGATGGCTTCTGGGCTCTCCCCTGTAGTGGATCCTGTTGTGGAGTTGTAGGATAGCAGACCTCACCAAGGACCACCATTTAGAGCAGGATTTATCCCTTGAGAGCTCTGATGGAGCTGAGGAGGTGGGCTGGTCCTTACCTGGTCTGTAGTGCCTCTGTTCAATGAACTTTGGGAAGGTTTGGGGAGGGTTTCAGCTGTACAGGCAGGTTTTATGAATGGCTCTAGAGAAGTCCTAAGGACTTGGAGCCCAGCAAATCTGACACCTTCCTGCAAGCCAGGGAGCTGTAGTGTAAATAGACTGAATAGAAACAGATAAACACAACATGGAAAATCTTTTGTTAGCAGAAGCCATTTCTCACCTGTCTAGTTCACTTTTTGAAAGAGCTTTTGTAACCTGCATTAGGTTCAGTGAATGTATTACCTATCTTTCAAAAAAGTCACAAAATTCTTCATAAGACTACTATAAACCAGTGAGGTGTTTGAGCAATTGAGGCAGTGCTCTGAGGACTGGTAAAAATACAGAATTAAAAGTTGGGTATAAATGAACAGGTTTTTCTTCCTTTCATTTTTAAAAAGAAAGGATGTTCCCACAGCAAATCCTCTGTGACGTAAGCATTTACCATATTCCTAAGTGTTATAGGAACAGGGGGAGAGCCTGAAGCATCTGGAGCTAACAGGAACAGTTACACAAGTGGTGGTTGACTGCCCAGTCAAGTGCCAGGTGAAATTCAATGTAGAAAAAGTAAAAAATAGGCTCTCAACAGAAAAAGAAAAAAAGCATTGTAAGAAAAAAAATTGCAATGCTCAGTTGAAATGAGTAGCAGAGATTGTCAGAAGACACAGAAATGCAGTTGGACTGGTATCCCTGGGCATCCTTGCTGCTCTCTGCCTGAGCTCTGTCTTGGGATCAGGGGGTTTGGTGGGTGTTTGGTCTGTTCCACTGCAGCCACTCCAGCAGCAGCTCTGCTCCCAGCTGGAAAAGCTGCAGAGGGATCATTGGATTTTGTCCAGCAGTTTGTGAGCACTGAGCACTTGGGTGGCTGGGGGTGGCCCCTCAGGCACATTCGTGTGGCCGTAGGGTGACAGGCAGTGCTGGGGCTGGGCTGGGGTCGCTGGGCTCCTCTCTCACCCAGCTCTGCTCTGTGTCCCTCCGCAGAAGCTGCACATCCCGAGCTCTCTCCTGGAGCCTGCCTCAAGGATGGATAAATGGGTGAGCTGGCAACTTTGCAACCAGGGGGAGGGAGGGACCAAGACATACATTTGGGACATTTATCTGTAAGATTATCACAGGATATGACAACTCTGTAAGAGAAACGTAGAGTATGAAACACTGAGTCTATTGATTGAAGACCAAGTGCTCTTGAATGGTAACAACAGAAGAGTTAGGAGTAGGAAAAATCCCTTTGACTTGGGAGAACTTCATCTCTCATCTCCACCACAGGCATAGCCACACATTATCCCAATCATTTTCCATCTGAACCCAGTGTGGAAGGGCCCAGTTCAGCCCCATTTCCTGTGAAGGAGTTTTCAAGTACATGGTTGTTCTGATGTTGCTATGATTTTTTTAGTTGTCATTTTTCCCCCTCCAAATGAATCCCCGGTATACACTTGGGCGTTTGCTCCATGGATGTTCACTGTCAACCAGCCCAAGTGGGGGAGAGCCCTCAGCACAGTGTGAGCAGCCTCCTCCTGGTCCAGCACCAACCCAGCAGGGAGCAGGGTGCCAGGGAAGTGTCCCCAAACCTCTGCCCCCAAGAGCCTGATTGCTCCACCTCATCCAACCATTCAATGAGCAGCTCTCCCTGGGGCTCTCCCTGGGGTTACACCCACAAGTCTGTAGCTGGCTGCAGCCTGTCACACACCAGCCTTGTCCAGGCTCCCATTTTCTGCCCTCTCCTTTCTAATGCTGTTCTGTTGCAGAAGATCAGCACTGGGATTCCCCTTCCTCCTGCCCAGGTGCCTCCCAGCCGCCTCCCCATGAAACAGAAGCCAGGTAATCCCTGGGCCCTCAGTGGGTGAAGCTGTGCCCAAACCCCGCTCTTCAGAGGGCATGAGGAGGTGGTGGCCCCACTGCAGCCACTGCTGACTGCAGGGCTATTCCCCTGCCTTTGTACTGTCTGCAGATCCTCCTGGGGAAGAAAATGCCTCTGTCAATGATGCCAGTGCCCACATGGACTCCAAGGTGAGGTGTTCCACATGCTGAAGCTGGCACAGCCTCAGGAGACCAGGGCTGGGAAGAGTGCAAGATTCTTGCCCGGAATTCCTGAGCTGCTCCCAAATCATTGGGAAAAAACCTCCTTCCTCTGACCACTTTTCCATTCTGAAGGGAGGCTCCCATGTGGTCTTTCCTCCCAGTTTGTGACCATCCCATCTTGTGAGACAGCCTAAGGTTGACCTGTTGCCACCCTCCGAGGCACCAGGAGCACCAAACACATCAGAGTTCTTGTGCACTTGCTTTACAGCCAACTTTGCAAGAGACAGTTGTCTTTGAACACCCTGCTGTCCCTTCCTCCCTCTTCCTGTGTCCCATTTTCTGTCCTTATCAGTCTGGATAGCACAGTTAATTTAAATTTGCCCTGTTGAGCAATGTCCTCTGAGGTACTCCTATGCCATTGCCAGCCCCTGCATGTGATGGTCCTGGAATGACTCCTGTGACCCTCTGGGGACACCACCTCTGTTCCTCAGCTGTAGGTCAGCTCTGCCACACCTGTTTTTAGGGCTTTTGGGGTATATTTTTCAGGTGTAGTTCAGCCAGAAGGCAACACAACAGAGGAATGTGGCTGCTCCTCTCCGGCTGGCTGGAGGAATTGGGGCCTTGCTCATATAATTTTGGGTTTAGGAGGTACCTGTAAAATCAGAACCAAAACCAGAATTCCTGAGTCACAGGAGGAACAACTGATCCCAGGCTTTGAATCCAGAGATCCCCCTTTGAAATTCAGGTCTGCATTTTGATGATGTTCTACTGCAACATGGCAGCACAGAGATGAGGGATTATGTCTGTGTCACCTCTCTTGGTATGAGAGCAGATATTGTCCATTGGGTCGGTTAGTCAGTTGTGGCTCTTCTTAGACTGTGAACTTCATAGTCAGGGAAAGGTTCTGCCCCCAGAGAGTGCTGGGCACTGCCCAGGCTCCCCAGGGAATGGGCACGGCCCCGAGGCTGCCAGAGCTCCAGGAGCCTTTGGACAGCGCTGCCAGGGATGCCCAGGGTGAGGTTGTTGGGATGTCTGGGCAGAGACAGGATCTGAACTCGAAGATGCTGGTGGGTCCCTTCCAGCTCAAGATACTCTGATTCTCCACTCTGATGGAGTCCATCTCCCCACAGGTGCCCCCGAGGTGCGGGGAGGCCTCCGCGGGCACAGACAGGCCGGTGGTGCTGCGGCTGCGCTGCGAGTGCTCGCTGGTGCTGCAGGCGGGCGAGGCCCCGGCCCTGCCTGCCCTGCGGGCCCTGCTGCGGGAGAGGCTGGCTCAGCAGGCACAGCGGGGCACGCTCAGGTATGGGGCTGAGCAGCCCACAGGTATGTGGGCCAGTAGCCATTCCCCTCGGGACACGGGTGTCCAGCTGCCTCTGGGCTTCTGGGAACATTCATCTGGGGCCAAAACCAGCAAAGGTGTGAGCACACAGTCTGCCTAGTGGGCAAACCTCACCATGGGCTTTGGGTGGGACAACAGCGTGATCCCCCTGGGAAGCACCTGCTGTTCTTCTCATAATCCCCTCCCAGTACATCAAGGGCTCAGGGAGGGCTGCAGAGGGACTATTACAAAGGCATGGAGTGACAGGACAAGGGGGAATGGCTTCGAACTGACAGAGGGCAGGGTTGGGTGGGATATTAGGAAGAAATTCTTTAATATAAGAGTGCTGAGGCCCTGGCACAGAGATTATGGATTCCTCATCCCTGGAACTGCTCAAGGCCAGATTGGATGGAGCTTGGAGCAACCTGGTGTAGTGAAAGATTCTCTGCCCATGGCAGGGGGTTGAAACTAAATTATCTTTACGGCCCTTCCAAGCAAAACTGTTCTACAACTCTGTGATTCTATGGGCCTTGGAAGCCTAAAGGATCTTTCCTAGGAAACTGTGCCATGGTCAAGGGAGAAGAGAAGGAAAAACTCTGTATAGGTGCAGCTGCCACAGGTTGGATTTTGTTCCACTCAGCTCAGCCTTTGCAGTAAGAAGGATCAATGCAGACCAAACTGGGACTCAGGCAGAAGATCCTGGGGTGAAGTCTCCCTGATTGTGACACCCCTTGGGACACACAGTGGCATCAGGAGAGTTTAGAGTCTTTCCCTCAAGTTTGTGTGGGAGGAGGTGACAGTGTCACTCCCCACAATGCCATTTCTGCCCGCTGAGCATGTGGGGTGGCCCCATGTCACTGTGCAACGGGACAAGCTCAGAACTGGCCTGCAAAGGGGACTGTAAAGACTGAGGGTGGCAGAGGGCTGGGCTGGCCTCCAAGTTTGGCTTTAAAGGAGATGATTTGCTCAGCATTAATGAACACTTGCAGCTACAGGCTCCTGGATGGCACAGAGCTGGGGACTGTGTTGGGACAGGAGGACCTGGGGAAGGTGTGGCAGCAGCTGACTGAGGGCAGGCTGACACTCTGTTGTCAGGTACGTGGACTGGGACAAGGTCTCTGCTGGGCTCCAGTCTCTGCTTTGCTTTGCAACCTCTGTGCTGGCTTTTCCCTGCAGGACTCAGACTCCCACTCAGGCAGACCTGTTCTCTACCAGATGCTGGCTCAGCACTCTTACCTGGCACAGGGACCAGGGGACCTGGAGTTCAGCAAGGGAGATGTGCTGGATATCCTCTCTGAAGGTAGCTCTCCAGTCCTGCTGCTGGGCCAGGCTTTTGGAGTCTGCTGTGAGGAGGCATTGGGGAAAATGTGGCCTCACCAGTGCTGTCTCAGGTTCATACTCTCAGGAGTTACTGGCTTGCACTGGGTTTTTCCCAGAGTTAAATTCCAGCCATGAATACTCTCACTAACCCCATTCATATGGACCAGGGCTCATTCCTGCTCCTTTTTTTCTTTTTCCAGTGAACGAGGACTGGCTGGAAGGACAATGCAATGGCAAGACTGGCATCTTCCCCAAATGCTTTGCCAGCCAGACCAGCTGTGGTGCTGCCTTCCTATAGCAAACAGGAGCCTTTTCCTGCCTGACTGCACCCCCAGGCGTGGGAGACACACCAGCTCATTTGGGCCCCAGCCAGCACAGCCAGGAGCTCTGCTGTACCTGGACAGGGGATATCTCCCACTCAGATCCATGGGGTCAGTTCCAGCAGTGATGGCATTTCCCACAGCCTGTTCCCTGACCTAGCATTTTTACCTCATGCTTGCACTGCTGAAGATGTGTCTGTGAAGAGCAGAGAGCAGTGAGAGGGCTCTGGGGTTTGGCTGTGGGAATTGTCCATGTAGCAGCTCAGGCTGCTGGGTAAGAAGAGGTTTCCCTGGGTGGGAAGAGGTTCCCCTGGCTGGAAGTCCTCATCCCCTCTCCCTTGTAGCTCTTGTTGAGGCTGGGAAGGCTGAGCCTCACTCCCAAAGCCAAGGGTGGCTGGCTGGGAGCAGGGGTCTGAGCCCTGTTCCTCAGGCTCTCAGGTCACATAACCTTATCTCCACCAGCCGGAGATGCTGCTCTTTCAAAAGGCTTTTGGAACCAGTTTGCAGTGGGATTAATGGGATAACACCATGAGTTAGGACCACTGTTTTCCATAGCAAATAGCTATGGACCTGACCATTCCTTCCCCAGGTGCCTTGGGCACTTTTCTTAAGCCCTAAGGCCAAGGTGGGATCTTGGAGAACAGAGAATAGGCAGTTGTGGAAATCCCCATTGCTCAGAGCAGCTCTGGGTTGTGGGAGAGCCCTGGGGAAAGGGCTGGCTGGGAAGTGCAGTGCTGGGCTGGTGTTGCAAAGGCTGAAAGCCCTGTCCAATTCCTGCAACTGGCCTGGTCTGATCTAAATAAAACACTCAAGTGCCTGGAGCTGAAACCTGTTCTGGATTTGGTGTCTTGACAAAACTTGGCTATGTAACTTGGATATAAAATAAACCCTGAGCCAGAGTTGGCAACTCTTAAATCAACTTCCACTTGTGTTTTTCTGCTGAGATATGCCAGTAAGTATTTTTAACAACAGCTGACAGTGTCTTTGGGAAGAGATTCTGTCACATACTACAAAAATATTGCACATCTTGCACAGGGCAGGATACAGATGATTGCAGCCCTCTACTCAAGAGTTAGGTGTCCACCACTGCTCTCCATTGCCAGTTGCCTCCAAGGACTGTTGGAAGAGTAGCCCAGCAGGACTGGGAATGCCAAGGAAACTGCTAGGCTGAGCAGTGACATTCATATTTGAAAAACAAAACTGATTTTATTTCTAGTTTGATTTTTTTTGGCTTCATCCCGCCAGCAAGTCTCAATGAGATTTTGGCAGTCAGATTAAAGGAGTCTTCCTCTTGGAGAGAGATCAAGTCGTCTTCTACATTCACAGAGATGACCCAGTCAGATCTCCTGAGCAATGGAGATGGTCTAATGCCTTCATTCTTCTCCATTTTCCACCTCTTCTGCACTACTTCCCTGCCTGGTTTAGTAGGCAAGATGCCTAGCATGCCTCTAGTCAGGAGGCTGGGAGCTACTTTGTTTTCCAGAAACAGTGTAGGAAAACAGCCACCAGGCCTGCCACGATGGCCAGTACAAGGAAGGAGACGGCCCCTGCCCACAGGCCGGGCTGGTGGCCCTTGACATGCTGCAGAGCCTCAGCAGGGATCATGTTGGTCAAGTTCAGCATGAAGCCCAGTGTCCACCCGATGTCTGTGTTTGCTGCCTGGGGGGAGACAGCACAGGGCATCATCCAAAAGCACCTCTCCCAGGCACCAGCAGCTTGGTGTGAGGGGCTGAGGGGCACCTCTCCCGTGAGCTGTCTCAGCTGCTGTTTCACATGGGGACCAGGCTGTGGTGAACCTGATCTTGCCAGCAGCAGTTGCACAAAGAGCGTTCCTGTCCCCTCTCCCCCAGGGCTAAGGGACGGCTGAACATGGATGACTGCTCTGATCCAGGTGTGCCTCTGTGACTTGCACGTGATTTTGGATCTGGGCTTTCCTTCATCCCTGTAGTCCATCTAATTTGGCTGTAGAATCAGTAAGGTCAGAAGAGACCTTTCAGGTCATCAAGTCCAGCCGTCAGCCTAGCACCACCACCAAGTTCATCACTAAGCTGTGTCCTCAAGTGCCACATCCACATGTTGTTTGAACACTTCCTGTGATGGTGACTCCACCAGTGCCCCGGGAAGCCTGTTCCAAAGCCTGACCATTTTCATTTCCATGAAATAAAACATTCCTAGTACCTAACTAAGCTTCCCCTGGCATAACCTGAGGCTGTCTCCTCTCATCCTGGAAATATTTTGGTCAGACCATACTCTGGTTCAAAGTGGTCATGGGGCCACCATCACCTTTCTGATAACATCGGAGACCAAAGTGGCCAAATCCTGCTCTGCTTTTCTCCAACCCCCTAAAATCAGTTACATTCACAGCAAGGAAATTAGCTGGGTCAGAGGTTTGGGGTTGGCTAAGAGAAAGCAAAGCTCTCCTGGGATCCCTGGGGAGAAGCCATGAAACAGGGACACATCTCTGGCACAGAATGTGGTGTTGCATTTTAGTTAAATGGTATGCTCTGTCTCACCCCTCCAAAATGTACGGTTTATTCCAAGCCTGTGGTCCTGCCCTGAACCATCCTGTATCTGTAATCCCAAGTCTTATTCTCTGCTCACTTTGAATCTCTCTCTTAAGCTGTGCGAGGGAAAACAGATGCACTCTTGGCCCTTCTCTCCCCAGGCTCTCCCTCTCCCCCTCCCTCCCCCTTCCCCCCTCCTCCCTCAGTAACCATGTTGTTCCCGGGGATGGGACCCCCAATAAACCCTCATCTAATCAGCACCCTCAGAAGCCGTGTGGAGTCTCCTTGCCTGCGGCTGCTGCCAGCCAACTCACAGCCTAGGGGGCCCTCCGGGGACTCCCCGGGGTGCCCCCCCCAAACAAACTGCAAAAACAGAGGACTCCAGAGATGCTGCTCCTGAACAAGTCCATCCTTTCCTGCTGCCCACACGTGTTTACCTGCCTGCTAAAGTGAATGTTGCTCCAGGTGTGCTCGTTGAACTTGTAGCCATCGAGCAGCAGCGTCAGGATGTAAAACGCCACGGAGCAGTAGGTGTGCAGGTACTTCAAATCATTTGGGAAGCTCTGCACCAGCTGTGAGGCCATTGGGGACAGAGTGCAACAGGGAATGAAAGAGAAGCTCAGAAACCCTCCCTAAGCCAGGGAACAGCAGAGCTTGTGTTCCAAGGGCAGAGATTTGGGACAGGATAAGCACAAGACTCCTGGCTGCCCTTCACAGGGCTCTCACCTCTGTCCAGTTCCTCCTGCAGAAGGACAGGACTGTGGTGTTGACCTCACTCAGAGACTGCTGGTGAGTCAGGTTCCCAGGGAACAGCAGAGCTTGTGTTCCAAGGGCAGAGATTTGGGACAGGATAAGCACAAGACTCCTGGCTGCCCTTCACAGGGCTCTCACCTCTGTCCAGTTCCTCCTGCAGAAGGACAGGACTGTGGTGTTGACCTCACTCAGAGACTGCTGGTGAGTCAGGTTCAGGAAGCTGAAGGTGTAGTAGAACCCAGCAAAAGCCTGGGGGGCAAGGAAACATGGTGAAAAACACAATTCCTTCCTTACGGGAGAAAAAACCCAGGGGCACCCCTTGCTCGGGGAGAGTCCCAAGTAATTCCCAGGGTTCTGCATCTGACACCCCCTTGATGGTCTACCAGAAAGTCTCAGAGCTGGCTCACAACCCGGGGGCTGCTCTGGCACTCTGAGCTAGCTCGGACAGGCCCCCTCAGATAAGATCTTTCCATTTCCCTCAGGGAACGCTGGGACACGGCAGGAGCACACTCTGAGCACAGAAGAGGTTTGCAGCTAGAACTAGCTCCGAGGATCCCTCTCTCCCCACCCTGTTCGACATTCAGTGGCAGAGGAGACTCCCAGTCTCTGCCTTTACCCTGCCCCAGGCACAAGTCCAGCCGTCAGCCTAGCACCACCACCAAGTTCATCACTAAGCTGTGTCCTCAAGTGCCACATCCACATGTTGTTTGAACACTTCCTGTGATGGTGACTCCACCAGTGCCCCGGGAAGCCTGTTCCAAAGCCTGACCATTTTCATTTCCATGAAATAAAACATTCCTAGTACCTAACTAAGCTTCCCCTGGCATAACCTGAGGCTGTCTCCTCTCATCCTGGAAATATTTTGGTCAGACCATACTCTGGTTCAAAGTGGTCATGGGGCCACCATCACCTTTCTGATAACATCGGAGACCAAAGTGGCCAAATCCTGCTCTGCTTTTCTCCAACCCCCTAAAATCAGTTACATTCACAGCAAGGAAATTAGCTGGGTCAGAGGTTTGGGGTTGGCTAAGAGAAAGCAAAGCTCTCCTGGGATCCCTGGGGAGAAGCCATGAAACAGGGACACATCTCTGGCACAGAATGTGGTGTTGCATTTTAGTTAAATGGTATGCTCTGTCTCACCCCTCCAAAATGTACGGTTTATTCCAAGCCTGTGGTCCTGCCCTGAACCATCCTGTATCTGTAATCCCAAGTCTTATTCTCTGCTCACTTTGAATCTCTCTCTTAAGCTGTGCGAGGGAAAACAGATGCACTCTTGGCCCTTCTCTCCCCAGGCTCTCCCTCTCCCCCTCCCTCCCCCTTCCCCCCTCCTCCCTCAGTAACCATGTTGTTCCCGGGGATGGGACCCCCAATAAACCTTCATCTAATCAGCACCCTCAGAAGCCGTGTGGAGTCTCCTTGCCTGCTGCTGCTGCCAGCCAACTCACAGCCTAGGGGGCCCTCCGGGGACTCCCCGGGGTGCCCCCCCCAAACAAACTGCAAAAACAGAGGACTCCAGAGATGCTGCTCCTGAACAAGTCCATCCTTTCCTGCTGCCCACACGTGTTTACCTGCCTGCTAAAGTGAATGTTGCTCCAGGTGTGCTCGTTGAACTTGTAGCCATCGAGCAGCAGCGTCAGGATGTAAAACGCCACGGAGCAGTAGGTGTGCAGGTACTTCAAATCATTTGGGAAGCTCTGCACCAGCTGTGAGGCCATTGGGGACAGAGTGCAACAGGGAATGAAAGAGAAGCTCAGAAACCCTCCCTAAGGAGGGACGGCACAGCAGGGGATGCGTCCACCCAAGAATCCCACTGGGCTTTTTTGTTGCTTGCCCCAGGTAGTCCTGGCCTTGCCAGGTCCAGCCCTGACGCGTACTGGGAGCTGTCCCGCCAGGAGGCTGCGGTTGTGGCATGGCCACACGCCCCAGGAGCTCCTGCTGCGGGCAGAGCGGGAGGGCTGCGGGCTGGGGATGCTGAGCACGCGTCTGATCGGGATGTCGAAGTGCTGGGCACGGCCAGTCAGTCCTGCAGGATCTGGGGACAAACACAACTGTTCCCCATTTCCCTGAGGAAGGGGTAGGGTGCTCTGCACCCTGCTGCAAGGGCACGTGTAGCTGATAGGCACACAGAGGTGACCTTGCACAGCCTCTCTATTTTCGGAGGCTGGCACTGGATCTGAGAACCCGGCATGGTCCTGCAGTCGGTAGGGACAGGCTCTGGGGTGGAAATCTCACTCTTTATCTTCCCGCGAGCTTTGACTGATGAGTGCCATTAGCCCAAGCAGCCCTTGCGTTACACTTTGTCCTCGCCAGACCTTTGCAGTTAACCAGTAACCGCCACGCTGCCGCTGCCGAGCGGGACATGAGGGCAAGGTGAGCTCTGAGCCCTCCTTCCCTTGCCCAGGCACCTCTGCCCTGGCTTGGTGGCCTTTGCTAGCCCCAGCCTGGCTTCATGTACCATTTATCTGCTCCTAGATCTGCGCTCTAGAGGGGGCATTTCCTCCAGAGAGACTTGTCCTTGTGCCAAAGCCTGACAGCACTTTTGCAATAGGAATACACACCACTGTGGGTATTTAGAAATGCCCGATAAATAAATTAGCATTTATCACACCTGGCATGAATCAGCTTTGGTGTGGGGAACAGCCACACAGGGCAGCACCCTGGCTGGCCAGCCCCGGGTGAGCTGGGCACGGACAGGGAGCGCAGATCCTGGCACTCACCAGACACAGAGCAGGCTTCCACCTGGGACACAATGCCGGTGTCGTTCTCCTTGTCCGCGGGCCACCGGTAGATGTAGAGGGACGTGTGCGTGGAGCCAGCATCAAACACCAGACCGTACTGGGGGGAGAGGGGACACGGGGTGTCAGGGGAACAGACCAGTGTCACCTGCTGCAGAGTGAGTGAGAGAAGCTCCAGGAGAGCCATCGCAGCTCCCGGTGGGCAGGGGAGCCTCGAGTGGCCAAACAAGACTGGTGGTCACCAGGACAGAAAAAGTCTGGTGGCATTGCAGTTACCAGCTGTGTTGGGGACAAGGATCCATCCCAAGCCCCTGGAGCTGGCAGTGCTTTGGGATGAAAAAGTTGCATGTGCTGTGGGGCCAGGCACAGTGACCAAATTCAGCCAGACCCGCTCCTGTCTGTGCAGGGTGTTGTCCCCATGTTGGTGACAAACAGCACAGCCTGCCTGAAACCCAGGCAAAACCCAACACCCAATGGTAGCCAGCAGCCAAGTGAGAGCTGTGCTCCTCCCGAGGACCCTACCTTGGTGCTGGGGGGCAGAAACACATCCTTCACATTCACGACACTCAGAATGAGGGCGATGACGCTGCAGACACAGGTGGCTGCCAGGAGACCAGCAATGGCCTTGGCTTTGGAGCCCATTCCTCCTCCAACCTGCAAGGACAGCCCCAGCCCCCAGCTCACACCTCAAGGATGGGTACGGGACTTTCCCCTTCCTGACAATGAAGCCATCCTCTGGTGCATAGCTGCTGTTAGCATGGAAGAGGATAATATCCACGAGCTCCTCTGGACCCATCCCAGTAGAGTTGTTGGCAGCCTCAGGGCTGGGACACTCTGCCATTCTGAGCACTCCTTCCTTGGAGGATTTTCAGTACAGCTTTTTCAGCCCTGCCTTCTCACCTACAGCCCCTCAGGTCCCTCTGTGCCTGGACCCCAGCCCTGCTCAAGCTGTTCCCTGGCTGGCAAGTCAGCATCTTCCTTCACAGCAGCATCACTGGGGGAAGCCCAGACACGGCTAGATGGAGTTCCAAGCTGGAAGCAGGATCGTGGCCTGGCAGAGTATCAGTGTGACCATCCCCTGCAGGGCACAGAGCCACATCCCTCCAGTACCCACATGCTGCCACCTCAAAACCCATCCCACAGCACTTGGGACCAGGTCACATCTGTTGCCCAGCAGGCCCAGATTGTCCCTGAGAGGGTCCTCTCTGCCCCAGGCAGGGAAACAGCATCTCCAGCTGTGTCTCCTGCCTGACCCAGCTGTTGCTGATGCCACAGCATGTAAGAGATGCAGAGGGACAGTGTCCATGCCTGCTGTGATCCCCACACCTCTCCTGCAGCCCCAAGGGCAGACAGAAAGGCAGAGGCAGGAAGCTCCTGCTTATCTGGGCACACAGCCAGGCTGGAATGCCCACAGCGATTGCCCTTGGGGACTGGAGCACTTCCCACTTGTCCATCCAGAGCTCAGCTCCCAGCAGAAACAGCCCCCAGACACTCCTAAGAAATTGCAGCAAAGCAAAGAGTCTGGTTCTCTGTGACAGCCTCTGCACAGGGCAGCTGAGATATCCATGTGCTCACACCTCACAGCTGGTCCAGATGTGCTTTTTGAAATGCACAGCTCTCCCTCCTCCTCCTGCACTGCCCTGCCTGGTGCCTTGAGCCACACAGGCAGGATGCCTGCTGCATCCTGCTGAGGCTGACCTCGCTTCACACTCCAGCTAAAAACTGTGGATGGCCTGAGAGCCCTGGGCACCAGAGGTGTGGTTTAACCCCACCAGTGCTTTGGATGGAACTTGGAGCTGTCACTTGGCTACACAATTCTCCTGTGAGTGCATAAAATCCCTGAGAAATTCCCCTGCCCTTTTCCCATGTCAGTGGAAAGACCTTTGGCAAGGTCAAAGGAGATGCTGATTCCTGTTTTGGAGTCAGCATCTCTGGCAATGAACAAGGGTGACCAATCTCCTGCATAGCATGAGATGCACAACAATGAACAGCAGCTGTTCTTTGGGTCCATGTCATGGGACATGGGGCCATCAAAATCCCTTATCAGACCTTTTCCTATAGCCAGTAGCCTTCCCTCTTCAATGGCTATGAAGAAATTGTATAGAATCAACTGACAAATCCCTGTCATAGAAACAGGGAATCATTAAGGACCTCTTTGAGATATTAAAGTGGTTATCGATTCAAAGTGATCTCAGACTCAAATCATTAACCCAGTACCACCAAGATAACCACTTAATTATGTCCCCAGTTGTCATATCTGCAGTCCTACCAGCCCTGCTGGGGTTTGCCCAGTTATAACTGTGCCGTTGGGATGTGATTCATCTGCTCCAGGTAACAAACAAAGCAATGGGAAAAGTTTGCAGCCCAGCCTACATCCTGGAAAATTCTGTCCCAGGCACTGTGAAATGGAAGGACACGAATTGGTGACAAATTGCACTGTGCTGCATGCAGGAGAGGGTGGGAAATGGGCTCCTCCTGCTCTGCTAGGGACTAATTCCTGTTTTGACTGGACAGGGGGCAACACCCAAAGGCAGCACAGAGCCAGCTCTCCCAGGCAGGAGAACAGGGCACAGAAAGGGAGTCCAGAGGGTGGGAAACAAGGTGAGAAGCTGGTCTATCTGACCAGGCTTTCTGTGGCATCCTGGGGCTGGCTAGCTCCAGTACCTGCTACCATCCATGTAGGATCAGGAGCATCAGGACAGGAGTGGTGCTGATGCCTCCAGAGCTGCAGAGGAGGCACAACGCTGCACGGTGCCTGCCCATTTCCAGGTGTGGAAATTTTCCAGCTGTGCCCAGCAGCTGGAGCAGGGCTGCAGTTGTTTGTGTAGGGCTGGCCATGACAAAGGGCTTGACAAACACCTGTGGGACATCCCTCACTTGCAGCATCCCTTGTGCAAAGGGAGCAGAGCCTCAAAAAGTGGGGCAAAGGCTCAGAGCCACTGCTGGATCTAAATTGCCTGTTGCTCAGGACAATGGGGGGCTGAATTCCCACCAGGCATATCTGCGATTTGAAAGCCAAAAGGGCTCTGAAGGTTCTGAGAGGGTGACTGTGGATGCCAGGAGCATCCTTGCCAGGCAGAGCAGTTCCCTGCATCCCACCTCCCACCAGCGCTGGGGCTTGGCAGTGCCCTCCATGCCTGGTCCCTGTGCCCTCCGTGCCCCTCTGCCCCCCGCACCTGGGAACCTCGTGCGGCGAGTGGCCGCCCCGGCCCTCTCGTCCTCCCCCACCGGCTCACGGAGCGTGTTTCCCCCAGCACCGCCCTCGCTGCTGCCCAGGGCCCGCTCCCAGCCCAGCTCCATGGAGGGGCAGCAGCCCCGGGCCCGCTCCCCCCGCGCCTGCCGCAGCTCACCCGTTGGCTCCGGCCGCCGCTCCGGCAGCGCCGCGCTCGCCCCGGACTCAGCGCGTACCTGGAGCTGGGAGCCCGCTCCTGGGACAAAGGCTGCCTCGCCGCCGTGGCCCTCCCCTTGGCCCCGGACCAGCAACCTGCCCAGGAGAGCGCTTGTCCGGGAGGCAGCGGGGCTGGGGCTGGAGAGCCGGGGTGGAAAGAGCATCCGGAATTAACCACTTCGCTGCTGAAGGAGCGGCACAGCCTGGCGCGCTCAGCCCGGGAGCGGGGGTGCTGCGCTGCCCGCGAAGATCAGCGAGGGCACGGATAGATCTCAGGCAGCCCCTGCCCCCGGAGCCTGCGAGCGCCTGGCGCCGGAGGCAGCAGCTGAGCTCCGGGAGCCTCAGATACCCCTGCCAGACCTGTGGCACAAACGCCGTGAGGGGCCGAGCCTGCCCTGTCACCCTGCTGTCACCCGGCTCTGCGGGACCCCCACTGTCCTGCTGCAGGCCGAGCCAGGCTGGCAGCGGGGCTCGGGACAGAAACAGGAAGGACCTGGCAGGTGAAGAGCTGTCCCCACAGCCATCCACGTGGGATCCATCCGCACAGGCAGGCACCGAACTGTCCCCACGGTTAGGGAGCCACCCCCATTGCCAGGGTCCTGTCTGTCCCCGTGGCCAGCACCTGTCCATGGCCAGAGTCCCGTCGCTTTGGGACAGTGCGGGCAGGGAGCGGGCAGAGATGCAGGCAGACGTACCGGCAGATAGGGCAGAGGCGCAGGCAGGGAGCAGGCAGAGTGCGGGAACGTGGTGCAGGCAGGAGGGAGGCAGAGTACAGGGAGGGAGCAGGCTGGGTACAAGGAAGGGACAGGCAGGGGGACAGACAGGGTGGGATCAGGCAGGGAGCAGGCAGGGTACAGCCAGGGAGGGATCAGGCAGGGATCAGGCAGGGAGCAGGCAGGGAGCAGGCAGGCCGGGGCCGGGTGTCCGGCGCGGGCAGCGGCAGCCCCGAGCTCCCCGCTCTTTCCGCCCGCGGCAGCGCCCAGAGCCCGCCCCGGCCGGGGCCGGACCCGGACGTCCGAGAGCGGCTCAGCTTCGCTTTCGCTTCGCTCTGCTCCGCCGGGGCGGCGTGGGCCCGGGGCCGGCGGGGAACGAACGGGCTGTGCCCCGATCGCCGCCCCACGGAGGGACGGAGAGGGCTCCGGGCACAGGTACGGGACGGTCGGACCGCGGCAGGCGGGAGCTTCGCCCCTGCCCCTTCCCGGCGCTCGGGGCCCGACAAGTTCATGGTCTCCCCAGTCGCCCAGCTCGTGTCCCAGGGGTCACTTGGGGGTGGGGAGGACCACGAGCTACAGGGAGAAGGGGACCCCCGGAGGCGCTGGAGGCTCTGGGCAGAGGCAGGTGGCTTGGGGCTCCTCTGGCAAAGTCCCTTCCTCTTCGCAGACATTCCCAAAGATCCCCGTCCCGTAGATCCTCCCAAAGACTATCCCTCTTGCACATCCTCCTCCCAAACACCATCCCGCCTCACAGACCCGCCTCCCAAAGACCATCCCTTCCCCCAAACCCTCCTCCTAAAGACCCTCCCTCCTCACACACCCTCCGCCCAAAAGCCGCCCCTGCCCACAGTCCCTCTCTGCAGACCCTCCTCCTAGAGACCACGCCTCCATACAAACCTCCCAAAGACCATCCCTCCCCAGTGACCCCTCCCCAATCCATCCCTTCCTACAGACCTCCCCAGAGCCCATCGATGTCTCCGCGCCTGCTCCGGGCGGTGGGCTGGTGCTCGGCGGCCGTGCTGGGACTGCTGACGGTGGTCGTCTTCGTCCTAGTCCTGATCCCGGCAAAGGATGCTGTCCTTCCTACCAGAATCAAAGTAGGTGTCCAGTGAGACCTGGGGGAGCCTGGGAATGCCACCAGCCCCTTTCAGCCTGGAATTCTTCCATCAGACCTGCCTTCCTCTGAGCTTGCGAGTTTCCCCATAACCAGCCCAGCTTTTCAGGACTTAACCTCATCAAGGTGGCACTGGGCAGATCAGCCTCCCCCAAACCACGGTCCTGGCTGCTTGGTAGAGGAGGGGAGAGAGAAGTGCAGCCTCCTCTCCACAGCTGCTCCATCTGCCACCACAGTCACTCTCTTCCCTGTTTTCAGACATCCAGGTCACCTGTTGGGTTCACACCTATCTTCCCTACTACTTTCTGCTGCTGTTCTGCTAAAAATTGTCAGGTTTTGTGAGATTTGCTAAAGGCCTGGGAGCAGCCCGATGCCTCCCTGCTCTGTGACTCACCCCGCTGACCTCCGCGTCCTTCCTGAGCTGTGACTCGCTGGAGTGGTGAACCCGGGGCTGTTAGAGGTGGAGCAGGGCTGCTGAAGGGAGGGTGATGTGCAGACCTCTGCTGCTCACGGTTGTACAGGGGAAGCAGGAGAGAAGCTCTCAGAAACCCCCGTGGCACTTGATGCAGCCTCGAGCCAGCTGTGACCCCGTGTCCCCTCTCCCCCCAGTACGGTCTGGTGTTTGATGCTGGCTCCACGCACACGTCCCTCTACATCTACCGGTGGCCCGCGGACAAGGAGAACGACACCGGCATTGTGTCCCAGGTGGAGGCCTGCTCTGTGTCTGGTGAGTGCCAGGATCTGCCCTCCCTCTCTCCCAGCCTCCTGGGTCACTGTCCCACAGCACCGTCACTGATCCAAGTCTTCAGCCTGCTCTGGGCTGAAGGGAGATTGTCCTGTGAGGAATCACAGGAAAGGGTTGGGATTGTCTGCACCTGAGGCAGCCCTACAGTCATTAGGAGGTGCAGAGGTGGGGGAGGAATTGGGCCCCCACTTAGCTCAGATCTTGCAGCCAGTCCTGCCCAGATGTGCATCACCTCACAGCTTGGGATGCTGGTTGTGCACTTTGCTCCGTCTCCCCTGTTACAGCTTCCTTGGCTCTTCTTACCACATCTGTTCACACCTTCTTTCTTTGCACCTTATGTGCAGCTCCAGGGCCTCCGCAAAGCTCTGCACAAGTCCCTGAGCAATCTCCTGTCTCCACTCAGGTGGGGCCTGACAGCTCCTGGGGCAGCAGTTTGCATTTCAGTATCTGTGCAGCTCCAGAGCGAGCAAGGCTGGGGCTATGGCTGGGACACCTGGGTGTGTCTGAGCAGGCCAGCAGAGCTCCCTGGGGAATGGGGGGACGCATCCCCTGCTGTGCCGTCCCTCCGGGGTGGCGCTGGGCTCTCTCCATCACCGGTTCCCTGTGGCAGGACCCGGCATCTCCAGCTACGCAGACGACCCCGCGGGGGCTGGCGCCAGCCTGAAGCCTTGCCTGGACAGGGCCATGAAGATCGTCCCGGCCGAGCAGCAGCGGGAGACCCCCACGTACCTGGGGGCCACGGCCGGCATGCGGCTGCTGAGGTACCGGCACGGCCAGGCCGGCGCCTGCCGCCCTTCCCGGCGCTCCTGCGCTGCGCCGGAGCCGGGGCTGGCACCGGGGCACACGGGCCGGGCCACAGGGCTGCTGCCCGGCCAGGCCGTGGGGATGGGCAGAGCGGCCGTGCCCGCGGTGCCACGGGGCGTCCGGGAGAGCCGCTGGCCGTGCCCGGGGGACGCGCCCGGCCCTCGGCAGCGCCAGCCTGGCAGCAGCCGCAGAGAGGCCGAGCCCCCTTTGCCAGAGCGGCGTGAACTTTCCCAGGGCTCCAGCAGAGCCTGCGGGCAGCGTTTTTAGGGAGATTCCCAAGGCGCCGGGCGAGGGCTTTGGGGGTTGCAGGAGCCACCTGCAGGCAGGGAAGTGCTGGAGAGATGTCTCGGAGCAGCTCCTTGGCAGGGCACGGCAGCCTCTCAGTGGCAGCCCGGCTGCCAGAGCTGCCAGCCAGGGCCTGCAGCACCTGAGGTGTTTGTGCCTTTGCTGGCAGGGAGGAGAACAGCAGCAAGGCCGAGCAGGTCTTGGCCGAGGTGTCCGAGGCCATTGGGGAGTACCCCGTGGATTTCCGCGGAGCTCGGATCCTGACGGGGAGCGAGGAGGGCTCCTTTGGCTGGATCACTGTCAACTACCTGCTGGAGACACTGGTCAAGGTGCAGCTGGGGAGAGGGCAGGGGAGGGGCAGAGGGGAGAACGCCCCTGTCTGAGCTACAGCCAGCTTTCCTTATTTGCAGAGGGGGGAGGCATGGAGCTTTGGGGCACTGGTCGCCCGGCCAAAGGTCCCCTGTGGTCGTGGGCTGCAGATTCCTCCCCATTAATGTGATTAACAGGATCTTTGTGTCCAGCTCAGCCTGGCCCTGGGCTCTCGTCTGCTGACACATGGGTGGATTTTGGGCTCCCAGGGATATGGCAGCGGGATCAGCCTCCGGGAGACGGAGTTCCTTTTTCCCTGCTCCAAGTGTCTGGGTCCCAGCAGATGTGCAGCGGCCAAGAGGTGGCACCTCAGTGCTCCCTGGAAGTGTCTGTGGGTTGAGGAGGATGTGGGCAGGCAGGGGTAAAACAGGGAGCCAGGAGCATGTGGAAGGTGCCCCTGGGGCCCCAAACTCCTTGCGGGAAGGGAGTGGGAGTGCCTGCAGTTCAGCCTAACCCTTGCTGCGTGTTGGGCCAGTTCTCGTTTGCAGAGAAGTGGGAACATCCCCAGGACACCGAGGTTCTGGGAGCTCTGGACCTTGGCGGTGCCTCGACGCAGATCACCTTCCAGCCCGGGGTCCCCATAGAGGACAGGAACACGTCCGTGTTCTTCCGGCTCTACGGCACCAACTACTCCCTGTACAGCCACAGCTACCTGTGCTACGGGCAGAGCCAGGCCCTGAAGATGCTGCTGGCAGCTCTGCACCAGGTGCCACGGGGCACGGGGGCTGCTCAGCCACCTCCCAGTGCCGTGGCACATCTCCCCCTGCAATGTTGGGTGTGCCTGTGGGCAAAGAATTGGGAATTGGCAGAGGCTTGGGTTTTATCTAGGGAAGCAAAAAATTGCCTCATTTGGGTGGAAGGTGGTGGTGGTGGTTGCCAGCCAGGGCTGCCTTCTCCCCACATCTTGACGTGCAGTGGCATTTTTTGTAATTTCCCGAGTCCAGTGTGTGTATGTGTGGTATTTCTGCTGTCACCATTCTCTTGACCTTGCTCCATTTCTGCCCAGAGAGAGGTTTCCCAGCACAGTCCCTGCACAACTGCCCAGGGACAGAGGCAGAGCCCAGTGCTGTGGGAGCCAGGGCTGCTCGGGGAGCTCACAGGTGGGGTACATCCAGTCCTCCTGGGGTGTAGTCCTGCTTTTTGGGATGGGCTGTGGGAAGGGTCTCAGTGGCATTGCAGCCCCATTAATGGCTCCATCTCTCTCCAGGCCAGCTCGAGTGCCCAGATCCTTCACCCCTGCTACCCGCAGGGGTACCAGGAGAACATCACCGTGGCAGAGCTCTACGACAGCCCCTGTGTGCGTGCGCCAAGCTCAGCCAGCCCTGGCCTTGTCCTCTCGGTGACGGGGACAGGGGACCCAGCTGCGTGTGGCACGGCTGTCCGGAGACTCTTCAACTTCAGCTGCGGGGCGCGGGGGCCGTGCGGGTTCAATGGGGTCTATCAGCCCCCCGTGCGGGGACAGTTCTTCGTAAGCAGCCTCCGTCCCCTTGCCTGGCAGGGACTATGGGAGTTGGGGGCAGAACCCCTGGAACTCTGCTCCAGGGGTATGTCTGAGTAGTGCCAGCCCTGGGAGCTGGGTTGTGCCTGACAGATGGAGACACTGAGGGTGCTGACCTGTGTGCCAGGCAGCCCCAGGGCTCTGCTCTCCCAGCATCATTCCCTTCCCTGTCCATGTGGACAGCATTCCCAAGCTCCCTCCCCCAGGGTCACTGCCAGCACCTGCAGTGATGGTCCCCCTTACAGGGACCTCTGCATAGGGGTGGGGGGCATCAGTGCCTGAGTGCTTCACTAACCTGTCATCTTTGGTCTCGACACCCACAGGCCTTCTCGGGGTTTTATCACAGCCTTCACTTTCTGAACCTGACAGGAGGGCAGTCCCTGAGCTTGGTCAATGCCACCATCAGGCAGATATGCAGCAGCAGCTGGAGACAGGTGAGATTCTGTCCAGGAGAGCATTTCACCTGCACTGGGCAGCCTGAAGGCTCATCCACAGCCCATCCTCTGCTGTGCTCAGCTGCAGAGAGCCAGGAGGAGCACAAAGGTCTCTGCACCTGGAGAGAGATGGCCGAGCAGCCTGCAGCCCCCGGGGGTCTCTTTGCTCTTCCAGTCTTTGCTCCCAGCTGTACTGAGGGGCTGTTTCCCAGTGTGGGCACATCCAGCACTGCTCTGTGTCCAGCCTCCCCGTGTTCTCCCACCTCTGCAGGTGCAGGAGTTGTTCCCCAGGGCAAGCAGGACCCAGCTCCGTGATGCCTGCGCAGCCAGCTCCTACACCCTCACCCTCCTTCTGCAAGGCTACAAATTCAACGTCACAACATGGCCTAGCATCCACTTCATCCGGCAGGTAGGAGAGTGTCCAGCAGCCCCCAGCTTCCACACTTTGTGCCATGAAGTGCCTTGTGCCCACCCTGCTGCTGCTGGGGACGGGGGATACCAGGGCAGCACAACCCCACTGCCCATACCCAGGGCAGCTCTTGAGCTACGCTCACATCTGCCCTGGCCCTTTGTGCTCTCCCCCTGTTCATGTCACTGCTGGATCCTCTGCAGCCCAAGGTGGGCACAGAAATGGTGGTTGTGGAGCAGGACCTGGGGGTGCAGGCTCTTCTCTAGTTTGCCTGGTACTTTACAGCCTTTCCCATGCCTCTTCCCTGTCTGTCTGCACAGGTTGCTAACGTAGAGGTGGGCTGGACTCTGGGCTACATGCTCAATCTCACCAACATGATCCCCTCGGAGCCTCCCACAGCAGTCACAGAGCTCCCAAGAAGCATCTGGATAGCCGCCACAGTTCTGCTGGCCATCATGCTCATCCTCACCTTCTGCCTGCTCACAGCCACTTGCTGCCACAGAAACTCCTCGGGCTATGAGCAGCTGTAACAGCGTTGCCTCCAGAGGCTGCCAGGCCACAAGTCCTGCTGCCACACCTCTGCAAGGAGCTGCATCACCCCTGTGTGCCCAGGGGCCACGGACTTGTCCTGGGGGGCCCTGAGTCCTGGCCTGGTGAGCTGGAACTGGCACGGCTGTAAAACACCCTCCCCATAGCTGTGTGCTCTCTGGCTCTCCTTTCCCTGCAGTCCAGGAGGGAGGGCTTGGCCATGTGGGGCAGGGGCTCAGCACTGGGGCCTGGGGACCACTGACTGAGGGGGTCTGGCAGCAGTGGGACTGTCACAGAGCTGGTTACAGCCCACAGCAGAAACCCTGGGTGGGACACACACGTCCTGCCCCGTCCCATGGCCAGTGCCAGTCCCAGGGGCCGTGGCTTTGGGGATGTTCGGGGCGCTGGCCTGGTAGACAGGGCTCTGCCTGGGACTGGGAAGCCCTGTGAGGGGGGGATGGCACAGCTCCCTCCTGTCCTGCATGAGGTTCCTCTCCAGTCCAGCTGCACCCCATGCCCCATGCCTGGCAGACAGCTCATCCTCCCTTTCCAACACAGGGTGACTTGGCAACACTGCTGGGTCATGGCAGAGGCAACTCCCAGGGCCCCCCGTACATTTTTTGAGTCCTACTGGCAGCCAAGTGATGGGTGAGTTGAGACACCTCCTCAGAGAAGGGAAAGGCCTGTCCTTGTGCCCTGTTGGCTCCACTCTGAGGTCCAGCAGACACCTCAGTGTCTGCAGGGACACCTCCCATAGATTCATTGCCTCACCCCTGAGTCTCTGTCATCACCAGCCCTTACTTGGGAGACAGAAGTAATAAAGTCACAACGATTTGGGAGCAGAGTAGCAGACATTTCCCCACGTGCTTCCTTTTACAATGTTTATTTTGGTGATGAGAGCGGTGAGGTGCCCAGCATTCCACAGTGACACCAAAGGTGTGCTCCTCACTGTGGGAATGCAACAGCAGCATGAATCATCCACAGAGCAGCTAAAATGAGCAGAACCAAAGGCAAAGGCCATGGGCAGGACCCAGCTCAGCCACGTGCAGGGCAGGACTCACAGCCTGCTGGAGCCTCATCCTGACACCCATGGGGTCCAGGCCTTCTGCTGGTGGGACAGTGCTGTCTCCAGGAAAGCACTGAGGAACATCAATCCCTTTATTCCGGGTGAAAAGGAAGAGGATGAGATGGGTGGTGAGATGTGATGACGAGATGACAGGGCATGCCATAACAGTGATGAGATGATGAGATGGACTCTCTGGAGGGGCATGGACCACACTTCTGACTGTGGGTGCTCAGTGTTCTTTCTCCAAGACCATCTCCACGTAAGCCCCAGCCACAGACCCTCCACAGGGCCAGCTGGGGTCCCACAGAGCATCCCTCAGGCTGGCAGACCTGGCAGGGACCCGCCTGGCTCTTGGTGACCATGCTCAGAGCTGGCATTCCATGGAGCACCCTGTCCCCAGGTGCCTGCACCATGCCCCACCAGGCCGGCACTGGGGCACTGTCCCATGGCCAGGCTGGCCCTCCAGAGCCCCAGGGCCAGCTGGTGGGATGGAGCCACGTCTGTAACACGCAGAGCACTGACAGGAGGCACACAGGCTTAGCTGAGGCTTCTGCAGGCTGATCCCATTGTGTCTCCATGCGAGTGAAGCTCCTCTGGAAACCTCAGAGAGTGCCTGTCTGCATGTTGGGGGCCAGGCCCATGGAAAAGCAGACCCCAGTTCTCTGGAGCTGGAGAGGTCACTATGCTCAGCAGCACAGAGCCAGCCCTGGGCTCAGTTCCACAGGCAGGAGCATGGGGACTCCAGCACCGCCCTGCAGCCCCAGTCTGTCCCTGCTGGGCTCCCAAACACGGCCAGGCTCCTACACCCACAGTTGCAGGAGCAGGGCAGTGAGCCCCAAGACAAGGGTGAGGATGATGAAGGTGATGGCTGCAGCCCACAGGGAAAACCTGTGGCCCTTCAGCATGGCTGGAGCCTCGGCCGGGACCATGTTGGTGAGGTTCAGCATGTACCCCAGCGTCCAGCCCACATCGGCACCCCCCGCCTGCCCCAGAGAGAGGGGACAGGGTTAGCCCTGCCGGAGAGCCACTGCTGGCACAGGGCCACCCACCCACTCCTGCTCAGCCCACAGCAGTGCCCCCAGCACGGGGGGCAGGTGGGGCTCTCTGCACCATTGCTCCCCAGCATGGGGCTGGTTCTCTCCAGCACTCCCACACAGGGTCTGGCTCCCCCCCAGCACCCCAAAACAGGGGCTGGCTCCCTCCCAGGACCCCAGCACAGGGGTTGGCTCCCTCCCAGGACCCCAGCACAGGGGTGGCTCCCCCTCAGCACCCCAATGTGGGAGCTGGCTCTCCCCAGCACCCCCACACAGGGTCTGGCTCTCCCCTGCACCCCAACATTTGGCTTGTTCTCCCCCAGCACCCCAGCGTGGGGCTGGTTCTCCCCCAGGACTGCCTCTGCTCCCCCCCACAGGTTGGGAGCACTGCCCACCTTCATCTGGAAGAAGATGTTGTTCCAGCTGGTCTCGTTGAACTTGTAGGCATCGAGGAGGAGTGTGAGGATGTAGTTGGCGTTGGCACAGTATTTTGGCAGTCGCTTGGGATTCTCTTTGGGGTAGCTGGAAGACAGCTGGGGTGGGGAATGTTTGGGGATGAAGGGGAGTTATTGACAGGCACTTTCTGGGCAGAGACAATGCCCTGAAATGTGCTGCATGAGCGGCAGTGGCTCCACAGTCACTAGCACCCAGGAAGAGACTCCTGGGCCGAGCAGTGATTTTGGACCTGTCTGTGCAGGGCAGATCCTTTGGGGAGGATTTACACTCCACATGGAAACAGAGCACATATTGTAGCTTATTTTAGCTCCTCCTGCCCCAGATTCTCCATCTCAGCCTCTTCATGCAATGGGCTCCTGCTCTCTGCCCCATGGTAGTGCTGGCACGTTTCTGGGCTTATCCACCCCCATGTATTGCCCAGAGGAACTGTGGCTGCTCCATCCCTGGAAGTGCTCAAGGCCAGACTGGATGGGCTTAGAGCAACCTGGTCTAGTGGAAGGTGTCCATGCCCATGTCAGGGATGTGCAACAAGATGGGCCTTCCCAACCAAACCAGTCTGGAATTCTATGATTCCAAGATTGTACTTGTTTCCAGCATGGTGCCAGCAGCTGGCTCTGCTATCACCATCCTCCCTGGCATCCCCATCCCCACCTCCATCCCCACCTCTAACCCCAGTTGCTTGCTGCCCTTGCCTGCCCTAGCTGCCCTTTTCCCAAAGATGAATGAGCAGGGAGTGGATGCAGGACAGTCCCAGCTCCACACAGAACTCAGGAGTGGCTCTGCTGTGTAGGACACAGCTCAGAACCAGAGAGCCTTGCCCTGGAGGGGTCCCCACTCCCTCCCCCTACCCCAGGACCCCTTTGCTTCTGCATGTTCCACTCTGTCTCCATCCTGAGGAACGTACATCCTCCCAGCTCCTTGTGCAGAGCCCCTCGATGGCCTCTCTGACCACGGCCAGCGGCTGCCCCTCCGTCAGGTTCAGGAACTTGAAGTTATAGTAGAAAGCAGAGAAAGCCTGCAAGGTGAGAGACAGAAACCCTGGTGAGCTGCAGTGGGGCACCCCTAGCAGCTGCCTGAAGCAGGAGGTGGGGTTTTTCTTCACGGGGTTTGTCCCAGCCCAGGCACTCCCGGGGCATTGCTGTCCCTGTCCCTGTCCCAGCAGGTGATGGGCTGGGGGCTGGTGCCTGCTGGTGACAGCAGCACAGCCAGCACAGCCAGAGCTTTGCCTGAAGCTGCTGTCTCAATTCCTATTGACAAGTCCTGTTTTATTAACAAATCCATAGCAGTGTCCAAGGCCAAGTTGGACAGGGCTTGGAGCACCCTGGGATTGTGGGAGCTGTCCCTGCCTGTGGCAGGGGGGGGCTCAAGATGAGTTCGAAGGTCCCTTCCAACCCAAACCACTCTGGGATTCGGTGATTGTCAGCATGGTCCCGTGTGGAGGTTTGGCTGGAAAACCATCCAGCAGCAATCCCCAATGTGCCCTCAGGCAGTGGTGCTTGGGGAGCCTGTTGCCCCTGTTCCCTGCAGGGAGGTGACAGTGCCATGGGGCAGCGGGGACAGCCCAGCACCGGGGACGCCTTTCCGAGGAGGTGGGAGGACGGGTTTGCCTTACAATGAACTGCCCCCGGAGCGGGGGCTGGGAGACGCCGTCAAAGGCGCACTCCTGGCTCTGGCCACACGCCGAGAAGTTGAAGAGCTTCCTGAGCGCTGCCAGGCAGGCGCTGGCGCTGCCCCTGCCCTCCAGGGTGACGGTGCTGTCGCCCAGGGGCAGGCGCGGGTCGCTGCCGTCCGTGCAGGGGCTGGCGCGGAAGGAGGACAGCGACACGGTCTCCTTGTAGCCCTTTGGGTAGCAGGGGTGGTGGACTCGTGTGCTGGGGGACGACTCCTGGGGACAGCAAAATGCAGCTGCAGCTCCTCCGGAGCCTCGTGGACACACCCAGCATCTCCCCAAAGTCCAGGCACCGGCATTCCCAATTCCTCTGCAGGGAAAGACCCTCCTGCCCTTCAGTCCTGGTCTTGCTGGCTGTCCCAGCATGAGCCAAGCACTAATTCTCACTCTGCTTTATCTCATTCCCTCTCCCACAGAGGCAGACCAGTTTCAAGGACCCAGTATGTCATTGCCCTGCCCAGAAGGATCATTTTTGGGGATATATAAAGCCCTCTCTAGCTTTAGAGAGGCTAAAACTAAAACCACCTAAAACCTCTAAAACCAGCTCTAGCTCTGGTTCTAGCTCCAACTCTATCCAGGGCCACCCTATGGGACTTTCCTGGCCATAGAGCAAGGGCAAACCCTTCTGGCTCACCAAGGCTGCTCTGCGGGCCAGGTGCAGCTCCATGAAGATGCTCTTCACCTCTGATCTTCCAAAAAATGGCCTGAGAAAGGTCTTCAGCTCATGTTTCTCAGGTTGTGAAGTCACAGAGTAGCTGAGGTTCAGGGGAGCTGTAGGTTCCCTGTGACAACCCTCTTGTTAAGGCATGACCAACTTGAGCAGGCTGCTCAGAGCCTCGACCCATCAAGTTCTGAGGATCTTCAGAGACGACAACTTTACAGCATTTCTGGGTCTTATTCCAATATCTGATCATTCCTATTGAGGAAAACTTTTCCCCTTTGTCTGTTTGGAAACTCAGGTGTTCCAGCTTGCGCCCCTTGCCTCTTGCCCTGGCACTTTGCACCTCTGAGAAGAGCCTGGTCCTGCACTTCTGCACACCCCAGGTGAAGCCAGAAGATCCCAAACTGCCCCTTTTGACATTTTCCCTATCCCTGGAATTGTCTAAGGCCAAGCTGGATGGGGCTTGGAGCAACCTGGGATTGTGGAAGGTGTTCCTGCCCATGGCAGGGGGCAGACCAAGATGATCTTTAAAGTCCCTTCCAACCCAAACCAGTTTGGGATTCCACTATACCCGTGCTCCTCTCCACATTTGCCCTGCCATGCTCCAAGGAGTCTGTCCTTGCTCTTGGTCTTTGCTGATGCCTCTCCAGAAGAGCCCTGCCTGTCCTTACTTTATGCATTAACAGGTGTGTGGTTGGCATCATGACACTACAGGTCCCAGTAACCTCTCACCACAATTAATTCCTTCGCCAGTCGCTTCAGCATCTCGTCCTGCCCGTAGCAGAGGTAGCTGTGAGTGTAGATGTTGTAGCTGTACCCGTACAGGGTGAACTCAGAGGCTTCATTCTGGCTCAGTACCGAACCTTCGGGCATAAAGGTGATTTGAGTGGATGCTCCTCCAAGATCCAGTGCCCCAAAAATGCTGGCTGCCTCTGGATGAAGCCACGTGTGCGCTTTGGGAGAGTACTGCCAATGAGAGCCAGGAGAGGAAGAGGAGTAGCACAGAATGCCCTGAGCAGAATTCTCATCCCATTGAAGACAACAAGATTTTGTTATTAAATTCAATGGGCCTCTGCATGTGAGCCCCCCACCCCCCACCCTCCCTGCCCAGGCAGCTGGGATATTGATCAGAGCCATGGCAGAGATGGAACTCTCAGTGGTCAGTAGGTGCTGACACTTTCAGGTGGTCAGTAGGAGCCCAGGTGCTGCGGGCTCACCTGGCTCTGAGTCACCAGCCCCAGGCTAAAGTGCTGGTGGCAACGGGCTTGGGGACTTGCCCTTGCCAAGGAGGCTGCAGGGGTCCTGGTGCAGGAGGATGGATTTCTATCCAAGAATCCTCCAACAGCCCCCACAGGAGCCTGACACTGCCAGCACCACACTGAGCTGTGGGAGGACTGGGACAGAACTTTGGTCTGAGCTGCCTTCAGCTGGAGTCTCCCAGCACTGCAGGGAGATGGAGCTTCCCAGGCAGGGACACAGAGCCCAGCTGTGCTGCACTGACCTCCCAGTCCCTGAGAGACCCTGTGTCCACTCGGCGTGGAGATTGCCCTGAGCTCTCAGCAGACACTCTCATTCCTGAGCTCTCCCTCCTCACTCTCTGTGGGAGGAAAACCAGAGGATGTCTCCTTCCCTTGGATCATTCCCAAAAGCCACTAACCCTGACCTCTCCTGTGCTGAGAAAGCTTGAGGAAAATCAGAAAAGCTGTATTAGCAAAGGAGTGGGTGTTCCACTCTTCTCCGACCTTGGTGAAGGAGTCCAGCAGGTAGTTGATAGTGATCCAGCCATAGGCCCCCTCTTCCTCTCCTGTAAGGATGCGAGCTCCTTTGAAAGCCACAGGGTACTCCTGCAGGGTTTTAGCAACCTCAGCCAGGACTTGCTCTGTTGCTGAGCTGTTCTGTTCTCTAGGAAGGATGCAAAGGACAGGACACATACCCAACTACAACAGAGGAAACACAAACTGGTTCTCTCCCAGTTCTGCATACTCCCAGTTTTTGCAACAAGCAGTCTGTCTGAAAGGGTTTCCTGCCACATGGCTTGTCTGAGCTGCTCATCCGAGGTGAATCCCAGCTGCCTCAGCTTGGCATTGCCATACTAGGAGAAACAGCAACCCCTCCCCTGCCGTGCAGCTTGATTCCAGTCACCCAGAGCCTTCCCAGGCCACCCTTCCCTGCCTGAGTGCTGGAGGCTGGAGTGGGTTGTGCTGCAAGACCCGGGTTTGAACATCATGCCCTGGCTGTGCCCAAGACAGGGCTGGTTGCTGACCTCCAGGGTTTTCAGGAAGGTTCCAGGCTGGGTTCAGCCCTCTCAGGGGGGAAGATGTCTCAGGGCTGTTCTTGCTCTCTGAAGTGAGCAACCTTCAGGCTATGTCCCAGCTCCTTGCCAGGTCTGATTGCCAGGGCACAGAAATAACGTGAGCTATCTGCAGCCATCAAACCAAGAGCCATGAAATGAAGGCTGCCATTTGAAGAGAGCTAACATGGGCTGGTGAAAGGTGAGGACAGAACCTGCAGCACTTTGTTGCCTCCTACCTCTGCCCCACCAGCACCCATCCCCCTGGGCAGGTGGCACATCTGCTGGCACCCCAACCCCCCCTTGTTATTAATGAATAATGAAGAGCAAACAAAACTGTGAAAAACATATCTTGCTTAGAACTGGGACATCCTGGGATGTCCCAACAGACATTGCTCAGGACAGTTCAGCCCTCCCTGTGTCCCCACCAAGCTGCCTTTTCCCCCTCTCCTCCCTGCCCAGTTGTTTGCTCATGGCAGTGTGGGAGCTGGGGTCCTGGCCCTGTGCAGGAACTGTCCTGACAGTGGCTGTGTGCAGCTCTGTCACTGCTGCCACCCCCTGTCCCCAGCAGTACCTCAGTAGCCTCATGCCAGCCGTTGCTCCAAGATAAGCTGGGACATCCCTCTGCTTCTCAGCAGGAATAACCTGCAGGGCTTTATCCAAGCACTCCCTTAGGGAATTGCCAGCTTCAGGGGGATTGCTGGCGTAGCTTGATATGCCTTGCCCTGAAAAGAGTCAGGATGGGACAGACTGATGGGAATGGCTTGGGTCAAGATTGTGGGAACAAGAGGGCACAGGGCAGTGAGGGCTGTCACCTCTTAGCAACAAAGGTGCTTTTCCAGGGTCCCCTTGTCCCCTGAGACCTGACTGACTCACACGTCCGTTCCTCTCCCGTGTCTCCCTTGCTTTCAGCAATGTCACTACAGGTGACATCTTCTCCAGCCAGGACAGCAGCTGAGAGCACTCCAAGGTGGAGGAACAAAAACTGATTCACCATCTACCTGCTCCAGTCCCCCCCAGTGCATGGGCACCACACGGTGCTGAGGGCTCAGGGACCCCCCAGCCACAGCCACAGCTCCCCTGTGCCCGCAGAGGACGGGGCTGTCCAGCCAGGTCACTCCAGCCACCACTGGAACAGGGCAGGACAGAGCTCATGGCGGGGGATACTGACCCTGGACATCACAGGACAAGGTCTGGCTGACCACTCCAGTGTCGTTCTCCTTGTCTGAATCCCACTCGTAGACAAACAGAGAGGTGTGGGATGAGCCCGCATCAAACACCATCCCATACTGCAAGGAAAATCAACACAGAATCAAGGTGGAGGAGCAGCAGCCTGGCCCTGGCCCCATTGTGGCCCTGCCAGGGCAGTGGGGCCAGAAGACTCCCCCAAATCCATGTCTGAGGCACAAAACCCATCAGCTGTGCCATGGCAGAGCAGAGCTGTGGGCTCAGCCCCCACAGTGACTAAGGGACTGTCATTCCCTCTCCTGAGGTCTGTGCTGCAATGCCAACTCACACAAACATTTCCTGTTGTTTCCCCATGCTGTTTTATTTTCTTTCATGGTCACATACCTTTTGTGTCTACACTGGCCCCACCTTGGGGCCAGCAACTCTCCCATCTCTTGTGGTCCCTGCTACCCCATGGCAGCACCCAGCCTGGGCAGGGTTGGCAGGGCCTGTCCAGGAGCACTCAGCCACCTGCCTCTGCCCCATAAAGCCTTCCCCCCCAGCCAAAGCCCTGCCAGCCCTCCCCAACAGGATGGGATGCCATGCCCAGGGCACAACGGGGCAGGGCAGGATATTTGTGCCATGGTGTGAGGGTAGGGATGGACTGGGGGCAGCTGGCAGGAACAAAGGGCACACCAAGGTGCCTGGCAGAGCACAGGGAGCAGCTGCCCCAAGGTAATCTCCAAACCTGGCACAGCACAATGGGGATAAGTTCCAGAGGAGCCTTCCCCTCTGACTTTCTTCTGCCTGCACCTCAAAGTGGGGACATGACACCCACCGTGCTACTGCCAGGCAGGTCCTGACCCCACTGCCCCTCCCAGCCCCACGGACCAGCTGCTGGCTCGGAGCACCTGCCCAAGGTGACTGGGCTCACCACAGGTGCTCAGGGACCTTCTCTGGGCTCACCTTGACCGTGGGTGGCAGCGTCACATCTTCAACCCTGACCAGGCTGAGAACCAGGGCGATGATGGAGAGTGCCACCAGCGCCCCGATGATGGCACTGGTGAAGGATTTCTTCCTGGCCAGCATTGGGGGGAAGGTTCCTGAAAGCCCAAACACAGGAGAAGTGTGGCTGGACACCTGGGAGCAAAGGTGTCAGTGAGAGCTGCAAGGAGACCTGCCCCAAAAGCTGACCCTGTCTCAGGCCATGCCACTCAGAAACCCTGGTGAATAACCAGATCTTTTCCTGGGAAAAGCAGTATTAGGATAAAATACATGGAGCAGGAGGAAAGAGGGGCTGGTTGTCCCGCAGCCTGGCAGAGCCATGATGGGATCACAACAATCTCCCAGCTCCCACACCTGAGTCTGGGAGGGGTGAGAGGAACCCTGTGCGGAGCAGAGGAAAGCACAGGGAGCTGCAGAGCCCTCACTGAGGCACTGCAGCAGGGCAGGGAGGGTGTGTTTCACGGGCTGGGAAGGGCAGCTCACCTGCCTGCACTCCTGAAGCCCTGCCCCAGCTCACCAGGCTGTGCCCCGGGGGGTCCCTCGGGGTCCCTCTGTGTTCCTCCAGTGCAGCAAACCCAGCTTGGACTTGCCTTTTATGTCCTCTGGAAGTGGATACTGCTGGAAAATTTTTCCCCATTATCTTCCCTGAGGGCTCATCAGCCTTAGGTGAAACTCTTGAATATCTGTTCTCCTGTTTGTCTTGCAGGTGTATATTCATGGCCCAGTTTGGCACTGCCCTTATCTTCAGCCAATTAGTTCTTCCTCCTCCTCCTCCTCCTCCTCCTCCTCCTCCTCCTCGTCTGAATGGAATCGTATGAAGGGCACATCACTGGATTTAACCCTTGTCCCTCTGCTTCTCCGAGCTGTCACAGAAATATCTGTTTTCTCATTGCTCTCCCCAGCCTTCACATTCCCATTATACGCTCTCTGCAAGGTCTATAAGAGGTGAGAGTGATATTTGCAATATCCGCTGCCCTGCAATCTAACAGAGTGCTGGGTACCTGATAATAAATGTTACTGCAGTGAGGTGGAAGCTCACATCAGAGGGGAGGATCGCCCTGCCAGGGGTCTCAGCTGCGCTGGCTGGGCTTTGGGACTGTGGTCACCCCTTCCCTGGGTTTGACCCAGCTTTGTGCTGCTCCTGGGGTCCCTGCAGACCCCGAGGAGAGGCGAGGGACTGGGGAGGACTCAGGACTTCCCCGGGAGCGGAAGGGCTGGGGAGCAGGATCTGCTCTCGCTGGGCCTGCGGCCGAGCTGCTTCCTGCTGCTGCAGCTCCCTGATAAGAGCCCGCCGGGCCGAGGCGGGATCCGCACGGCCGGAGCCGGCTCCGGCTGCCTCCGCTCAGCCCGACGGGGCACTGCCGGCAGGGAAATGCTCTGCTGGGGAGCTCTCCTTGCCCTGCCCCTGCCCAGGGGGTGCAGAGGTGCTGCTGTGTGAGCTGGCAGTGCCACCGTGTCACCATGCCGGGACAGCAGGGGCTCCTCACAGCTCCGGCCGCTCCCTCTTCCTGCAATCCCTAATCTGGGATCTTCCACCCCGTGGGCAAGAAGCAGATTCACCCTCTGAGTCGAGGTTATGATTTTATTTCACATGTAGGCAGAGATGGGTGCTGGGTAGTGAATCAAAGCTGACACACTCTCAGCATGCCAGGTCCCATTTTTACACATTTGAAGCAACAGAAATCAGCATTTCCTTACAGCTAACCACAGCTGGTGCAGCCATCGGCTTTGCAGCCTGTGCCTCATTTAAAGAGACCCTGCACACTTCATTTACTGCTCCTGCTCTGTGGGGAAGAGGCTTATGTGAGTAAAGGGTGATCACAGCCTGTGGGCAGGGATTTTACTATGCTAATGAGCACTGGAAGCACACAAAGTTGTTCTTTGGCTTTGTAATTTGATTTATAGTGTCCTCCTGCTCTTCACTTCTCGGGTCATGGCTCTCACGTACTGCAGGATTGGTTATTCTCAAGTCTTTCATAAGTTCTTTTGTTTGTCTTGTACTGCAGTGAATTTTTAACCTTCTCGTGGTACTTCATTCCAATAAATCCCCTCTCTGACACTTAGGGAAATGTCCATAGTGCATTTACCGTAAGTCTCACCCTATTTTTGGAAAAACATAGTTGACTCTTACCTGAAATAACAAAATAAACACAAACTCTTTCATTTTGTAATATGATGGCATGTCAGTACAGTGTCTGTGGGCTCATGGCACTTCAACATTCCCATGGCAGCGTCCTTTGGAGTGGCTCCTGAAGCCCAGAGGGTGCCACCACTCCTGCATTCCCACCTCCACACAACACACAACCTTTGGATTCACCTGGATTCAGTGGGAGGGGTGGATGAGTGTCCCTGCTCTGGAAATCCCTGCTGACTGCACAGGGCTGTTCTGAGCACAGGGGTCTCGTCCCAACCTAGGACAGAGAGGCACCAACCAGCCCTGGTCCCTTGGGGACGTGTGGCACTGCCAGTGGCTGTGTGCACCCAGAACTGACCAAAAACTCCAGCTCCAAACCCAAACACAGGATGAGCAACTCTTCACTTCACTTTTCCTGTCCCTTTTTGTAGTAAAGAAACAGTCCCAGAGGTTTTGTTGAGCGGCTGTTCTCCCTTGCCCATGCTGGCCCCATGTGCAGCTCTGCAGCTCTGCCAGGTGATACTGCCCTGGCTGTGAACCACAGGATCACAGGGATCTGTGTGGAAGGACACAGTTCCAGCTGCCTTATCTCAGCTGAGTCAAACAGGGCAATGCTGGGAAGGAAATGCTGTGCAGGGCAGCCCTCACTGCCCCTGACCCTCCCCAGCAAGGCCCCAGCAACACCTGGCTCTGTGCTACATCCAGCCCTCAATTTTCTTCAGACAGTCCCACCCAAAGGGGTGTCTCTCTAAATTTGGGGTCTCAGGGGTCTGTGGTATCTGAACATCCCAGGACCTGGAAGGGCCATGGGGTGCCTGGCCCCCAGCTGCTCTCACATGGCTTCCTTGGGTCCTTGGGCACATCAGCCCCAGCCCTGTTTGGCTTCAGGGCTGTGCTCTGCTGAGAGTGAAATGTGCTATTTACTCCTAATTGAGAAAGGGACCAAGTGTCTCGTTCTGACTTCTGACAGACAAACCTGCTGTGGGGAAGCGAGGCTAGAGTACACACACACCCCTGTTTGATCTGCCTTTGACATGTATTTATTTGCCTGTGGCCCTTGCAGTGGCTCTGGCACCCAGCAGGGAGTTGCCAGGCTGGTGTGGGGACTCGGTGGGGCTCTAGCCCAGCCATCACTGCCAGGCTGACGGGTGTTTGTGAAATGACATCACCTCCACTGCCAACACCTTCCTGGTGCCTTCTGAAAGGAAAGCACCCTGACTCAGGGTTAAAAAAGGGACTCTCATTTCCCAGAACTCAGTTTCTGCTCCATGAGGTCACCCCAGTCCCAGGATGGGAGGTGCAGGTGGTGGCTCTGAGCATGTCCCATGTCCCCCGGGGAGCTGCTCCACTTGCCCCGTGTTCCTTTGCCAGGCATTCCCTGGGTCTTGCTGTGACTTGTCCCAGCAGACACCAGCTCCAGCCCTCCCTTCCACTCTGATTCCAGCAGGACTGGTGGAGTTTGGGCCATTTGGAGCTTCCTTCTGCTCAGGTGCTGCCCATGGCAAGTTGCAGGGAGGGATGGAGGTCCCTTGTGCCACCCATTCCCTGATGTGTTTTGGGAGCCCCCTTGTCCCCCTGGAGGCCCAGGCCATGCTGGAGCCCTGTCCTCCTGGTGCATGGAGCCCATCTGGGCTGTGCCAGGCTGTGCTGTGTGCATGGACACGGCAGCACTGGCTGCTCTCCTGCAGTGTACTGTCCCCAATTTCAGGTGGCTCTCCAGGGGCTGCTCCAGTCCCTGCAGCAGCTGGAACACATGGAGAAGGGTGGCAGCTGGGGCTGGTACTGCCCTGTGCCACAAGAATGCTACTTTGGCACTGGGGCTGGGCTGTGCAGAGGCTCCTTCCCCACCAGCCCAGGGTACAGAGGGGCTCAGGGCTGGGATCTGCAGCAGCAGCCCTGGGAAGCTGCACCTCTCTCCCAGGGTATCCACAGGGCCAGACCAGCAGGGACTCCCTGCTGATGGGTTTGGGAAAGGACCCACCAGCCACAGCAGCAAAAATGAACCCAGAGGTGACATTTTCATCTTTGCCAGGGTGTACTGCAGCGTGGGGAAGAGTTCTGGCTGGGACTTGAGGAGTCTCCAGGCCAGGCCAGACACCTTGATCTCACACTGGCAGGGAATGGGTGTCAGGGTCCCCTCAAGCTGTGTCAGAGGGGGAGGCTCCAGCAGGATTTCTCCATGGGGGGTGCTCCCAGAAAGAATTCTGTGTGGCCACAGGCTGGTGTGCCAGCACTGCACTGCTGAGTGCCAGGGCAAATGCCACAAGGTTTGTTCCCGGATTTGGTGGCCCTGGGCACAGCAGGTGACTCCTCTGCACCAAGCACGAGTTCTGGGAAGGGACACGGGGTGGTCCTGGCTGCCAGACCACCCCCACCCCAGCACCCCCACCAGGTCACCTCTGTGTCCCCAAACACCACAGGGAAGCTGCCTTACCTTGGAGGAGCAGAGCTGGGACACGCTGACCACTGGCTTGTCCCCAAGGCAGCAGCAAAGCACTGGCAGAGCCACTTGCAGGTGAGGCGGGTGGCACACGGGGATGTGGCACACGGGGAGACATCCCCCTGTCTCAGACAGCACCCCAGTGACAGGGCTGGTGCTGGTTTGGGACGCAGGGTGCAGGCAGCCCCAGCAGGGCTGGGCAGCAGCAAAGGGCTCCGTGCTGTGCAGCGAGGCTGAGGGATGTGATCATCTGTTTGATCTTCCTTGGGGCTGATGAGCCCCTTCCTGAGTTTATTAATTAGCTGGTTGTTGGCAGCTGTGGGAGTGTCCAAAGGCACCATCGGTCCCCAGGGCCATTCTGTGAGTGTCCCCTCCTGACTCAGAGGCTTTGCTGTCTGTCCTGCTCCTCTCCTGTCCCTCACCTGCTGCGGCTCCAGTCCCCCAGCGCTGCAGCAGCCACTGTCCCCACACAGCTCCCACCCACAGCCCCCTCCCAGCCCCACACAGTGACCCTGTGGCTGCTGCTGACACCCTTCCTGGGACAGCAGGTGACAGAACAGCCCTGGCCTGTGCACTCGGGGTGATGGGGGCGTGTGGCACAACCACAGCAAGAGGATGAGCTCACACTGCTGTGAGCCGCGGGTGACGAGCAGCAGGTGGCTGCCACCTCCCAGGTGACATGTCCTTGGCTCAGGGGAGCCAGAGAGAGGCTCCAAGGGGAATAACCTGAGCACCTGGGGCAGGTGACAGCAAGCCCTGGGAGACTGCATCCCAAGGGGAAACAGGAGCTGAAGAGCACCTGTGAGGCAGGTCCAGTGTCACCTCAGGGTGTGCAAGAATCACAGAACCTCCTGAGCTGGAGGGACCCATGGGAATCATCCAGTGCAGCCCCTGGCCCTGCACAGACACCCCAACAATGCCACCCTGGGCATCCCCGTGACACTGGCCCTCCACACACTGCTCTGCACTCCCACAGGGAATACTGAATTCCTCCTGTTCTCTGGGGGCTCTGGGGGCAGTGTTGCAGCCCGAGGCTGGGGCGCAGTGAGACCCCCCTTCAGAACCAGCACCAGCCATGCACGCTCCTGCCTCCTCACACCCCCATTTCCATGTTTAGGAAATGGAGTGAAACACAAAGAGGCAAAATCATATTCCTGTTCAAAAATACATACGCCAGTGATCTCAACATGACCTCACAAAACCCTGTCAGGGCACTGAAGGTAGGAAATGCTCAGGGAGGTGAGGGGACAGATGGAAATCCATGAGCCAGCTGCCAGGCAGGGCAGGGCAGGGCAGAAGTCTGGGCTGTACCGGGACATCTACAGCAACCAGCCACCCTCCAGGCAGCAGTTTGAGGTACAACAGCTTTCCAGGAAAAAAGAATTTATAAATAAACACAATCCTTCAACGCATTTTTATTCTAAAATAAAATAACTGTCACGCCCAGCCGCGCTCGCGGGACAGGACAAGGCAGGGGCTGAGGGAGCACAAACAGGGATGTGCAGCTTTTGGAGAAACGTGATGCTCTGCTCCGCAACACGGCCGCGAGCGGGGCACTGCCCTGTCCCGGCCTGTCACCTTCCCCTCCGCAGGGGACAGCGAGGGGAGCGGCTCCGGGCACGTCCCCCGGGCCGGGCTCAGTTCACGCGGCAGGCCCGGATCATGAGCAGCTGGAGCAGGATGAAGACGGGCGACATGATGAGCCCGTACCAGAGCTCCCGCGTGTGCTCCACCAGCTTCTGGCACAGCAGCATCTCGAACACGAACTTGAGGCTGAGGATGGTGAGGATCCAGAAGAGCCGCAGCACCGCCAGGCGCTTCTCCCCGTCCTGGAACAGCCGCACGGACACGATGGTGGTGAAGTAGGTGCTGAGCCCGTCGGCGGCGAAGAAGGGCACGAACACGATCCACCAGGAGAGCGCGGCGGCCGCGCCGTCCACCTTGAGCACGAGCAGCACGGAGAAGGCGAGCAGGGCCAGCCCGTGCAGGAAGATCTCGAAGGTGGCGAAGCCGAGCCACTGCACGAGCTCGCGCAGGGAGAACAGCATCGTCTGGCGCTACGGTTACGGCACCGGCACCGGCACCGGCACCAGTCCCCAGCCCGGCAACGACACCGACGCCGGCCCTTGACCCGGCACCGGCTCGGCTCGGCACCGACACCGGCACAAGTCCCCGGCCCGGCCCGGCCCAGCACCGGCACAAGGCCCCGGCCCGGCACCGACGCCAGCCCCTGACCCGGCACCGGCGCCAGGCCAGGCCCGGCCCGGCGGCGCGGAGCGATGGCGTCACGGTGAGAGGCGGTGGACGGGTGACGGGTGACGTCATCAGGCGGGGAGACGATGAGCGGGGAGTCCCGGCGGCTCACCCTCAGTGATGACGTCAGCGGGAGCTGTCGCGCAATGGTGACGTCAGAGCCGGCATGGGGCCAGTCCATGGTGAGTCCCGCAGAGCGGCCGGGCCGGGCCCGGGGGTGCTCACCTGCTGAGGAGAATCCCCGGGAGCTACTGCCAGGGCCTGGAGGGGCTCCGGGAGAGCTGGAGAGGGACTGGGGACAGGGGATGGAGGAACAGGACACAGGGAATGGCTTCCACTGCCAGAGGGCAGGGCTGGATGGGATATTGGGAATTAGGAATTGTTCCCTGGGAGGGTGGGCAGGCCCTGGCACAGGGTGCCCAGAGCAGCTGTGGCTGCCCCTGCATCCCTGGCAGTGCCCAAGGCCAGGCTGGATGGGACAGTGGGAGGTGTCCCTGCCATGGCAGGGGTGGAATGGGATGGGCTTTAAGGCCCCTTCCAACCCAAACCACTCTGGGATTCTGTGATTTTATTTTTTATTATTATGATTTAATTTGTTATTCCATGGGCACATGGTGATGGCAGCTGTTTGCAGCTCAGACAGCTCCCAGGGCTGGGCCCTTGCTCTGCCAGAGTCTGGCTGAGAGCGCCGTGTGGTCTCACCTTTGTGTGTCGCTGAGCCTCGAGGCTCTGCCCCAGCCCCCTCAGGTGAGGCAGGATTCGCAGGGCACACAGAAAGGTTACACCGGGATTGGGGAACACCCAGGGCTGTGCTCACCCTGTGCTGGTGAGGGCACAGTAGTGTCCCTGCTTATTCTTTGGGCTGGGACATGGGATCACTCTCTCAGTGCTGCACAGAGAGCCCGGGAGCCTTGACTCCCTGTGCTGAATGCCAGCTGCTCACCATCCCTGTGCTGTGTCAGCCCCTGGGGGGTCAGTGCTGCTCAGCCCAGGGCAGCCCCAGCCCTGCCTCCCCTCCTGCCCCTTCCCTCCGGTGACTTCCCTGCTGTTGTGTCCTGCAGATGGCAGAACGGGGACTCCTGGTGCTCTTTGGCAGCCAGACTGGCACAGCTCAGGACGCGGCGGAGAGGGTTGGAAGAGAGGCGCAGCGGCGGCGCTTGCGGTGCCGCGTGGAGGCCCTGGACAGCTGTGACCTGGTGAGTGGGTGGGACACGGGGCTGCTCGGGCATCCTGCTCTGCTCCAGCCCCACCAGCCCCACAGGCACGGACACCTCCCGCAGGACCACGGAACCATGGCACAAGCTGAGTTGGAAGCAACCCATCAGGATAATCGAGTCAGCTCCTGGCCCTGCCCAGGACACCCCAACAGTCCCACCCTGTCTCTGACAGTGTTCTCCAAATGCTGTTGAACTCAGACAGGCTTGGTGCTGGTTGCTCCAAGCCCTGTCCAGCCTGGCCCTGGATACTTCCAGGAATCCAGGGGCACCTACAATTTCTCTGGGTAACCTGTGCCAGAACCTCATCACCCTCACAGGGAAGAATTTCTTCCTAATATCTGACCTAAACCTGCCCTCCTTCAGCTTATGGACATTCCCCCTTGTCCTGTCTCTCCATCCCTTGTCCCCAGTCCCTCTCCATCTTTCCTGGAGTCCCTTTAGGCCCTGGAAGGGGCTCTGAGCTCTCCCTGCAGCCTTCCCCAGGCTGAACACCCCCAGCTGTCCCAGCCTGGCTCCAGAGCAGTTTGGAGCCTGCTGACCTGACTGTGCCATGTTTGTACCCACAGGCCAACCTCATCCATGAGCCCTTGGTGGTGTTTGTGTGTGCAACCACCGGCCAGGGAGACCCACCTGACAATATGAAGGTAGGACGTGCTCCTGTCCTGTTGCTTTAATGTTCCTGCTGCAGAGCTCTCCTGAAGCAGCTCGAGCAGGGGTTGTTCTTGCTGGGGGAGCTTTGCAGCAGCACCAGTCACATTCTAGGAAACAGGAGCAGGGGCACTTCTGCAGAAAGCTGTGCTTCCCACTGCTGGGATGCAGGAGGCTCCAGAGGGTGGGTGAGCAGGGATGCAGGGACAGGCAGGCAGGAGGGTGCCTGGCAGCAGCAGGACTGGCTGGATGTGTCTGTCCTAGATGTTCTGGCGGTTCCTGTTCCGGAAGAGCCTCCCTGCCAACTCCCTGTGCCAGCTGGACTACGCCGTGCTGGGCCTCGGGGACTCCTCCTACCCCAAGTAAGCAGCCCCTGGGCAGCTCTTCCTCACAGCTCTGACTGCAGTAGAAAGCAGAGTGGCTGGAGAGCCAGGGGGTAAGGGGAGACAGAGTCTGATTCTGGAGCAGCAGCTCAAGCAAAATGAACTCCCCCCAGCCTTAAAAATCCTTGCCCTACTATGTCCCTCCTCACCTCCAGGAATTAGTCTTCTGGCCTTTTCTTTCCTCCCAGCCTCACCAAGGATGCTTTGCTGCAGTGGGTCAGACATCATATGTCAGTCTTTTATCACAGCTATGGGCCAAGGCAACAGGAGACATCAAACAGAGGTTACAGCCAGCCATGTTAGTCCCAGGTTTTGCCCAGAAGATTGTTCCTGTGTGCCTCAAAGAGCTCTAGTGAGAGGGATGGGTGTGCTTGAGCTCTGTGGGGCAGTGGGGGCCTGGAGGGAAGAAAATGTTCTATGGCTCAGGGCACAAGCTGCCCTGAAAGGAAGCTGGGCCTCCCCTTGTCCCATCTTGGGGCTGAGCACAGCCTGTGAGGGCCAGCAAGTGGCACTTAGCTGGTTCTGTGAACTGGCACGGGCTGGGCAGGGCATGGGCCACGTCACAGTACTGGCTCTGCCTGTGTGCTCTGGTGGCCCTGGCAGTGTGTGCTGGTGCTGTGGCAGTGCCTGCTGTGCTGCTGGAGCAGCCCTGCCCTGTGTTATTCTCTGCTCAGGTTTAATTTCATTGCAAAGAAGCTGCACAAACGGCTCCTTCAGCTCGGGGGCAACCCGCTGCTGCCAGTGGCCTTGGGAGATGACCAGCATGACCTGGGGTAAGAGCGCAGAGGAGGGGTGGCAGGGGGGCCCCAGGGTGCTCTGTGCTGGGGCTGATGGCAGGGCTGTGTGCTGCTCCCACCATGGGGCTGCTCCTGCAGCTCTCTGGGAATGTGCTGATCTCTGCTCATAACCCTCCTGTGCCAGGACCTGGGCCACCTGCTTCTCCAGGGTGTCCCATGACCCCCAGAACGTGGCCATGACCCCTGGCTGAGCCCCAGCCCTGTTCAGAGCAGGGCATGGCTGTGTCACACAGCCCTGTGCCTGCAGGCATCGCAGCAGCCTCAGCAGTGCTCGCCTGGCACAGGGCGAAGGCTGTGGATGGCTCAGGGACACAGTGACCCCCATGACTCAGTGCTGCTCAGGGGCTGGAGATCCTGTTCAGGTGTCAGTGGTTGGGCCCTGAAGAGGGACTGAGTGTGTAGAGTTTGTGAGATATGTTTCTTCCCAGACCTGAAGTTGGAAGGGAATGGCCTGGGATGACTGTGGGAATGGTTCTTGGGCATGTGCAGGGGTAGCAGGGCTTGACCCTGCAGGGATGATGTAGCTGCAGCCTCAATTTCCCACTTGCAGGCCAGATGCAGTGGTTGATCCCTGGCTCATGGCCTTGTGGGACAAGATCCTTGCCTTGTATCCTCTCCCTCCTGGCCTTGAGATCATCAGTCCCGACGTGCGGTGAGTGGAGGGGGTGAGCAGGGATTGCTGGGGCCAGCTGGGGTGAAAGGCTCTGCTTCCTTGGCTGTTCTCCAGAGTGGAGATGTGCTTTCCTTGGAGCAGGAACACTCCCCACAGCTTCTGGTGTCCCCAGTGTCCCTTGTGCTTTGGTCACAGGTGGCCCATCTCTCTCTGGATGGGTGTCCCCTTTTTCCCTGGGGGATGTGACAGCTGCCCCGGCTGGGTTCTGCCCATCCTGCTGTCCTGATGTGTCTCTGGCCCTGGCAGAGTGTGTGTGCCCAGCCAGCCTCCCTCTGCATGCTCTGGAGCCTTTGGGATCTCCTCCTGGTGATCTCCATTGCATTCCCTTACACAGGCCCGCTCCAGGGGACGGGGATTATGGCTGGTGGATACAGTGGGACACTCCAGGCCTCTCCCTGTCTCTCGTCTTGCAGAGGAGCTGTGGCATGGAGGTAACCCTGCTGCATTGCATTGTTCTCCTCCCCACAGTCTGCCCCCCAAATACACCATGCACTACCTGCCCGAGGACTCCCCACACCCCGAGAGTGACCTGCTCCAGCCAGCAGCCCCCCAGGCTGCTCCGTGCGAGCTGCACCCCTTCGCTGCCCGCGTGGTGTTCAACCAGAGGGTCACAGCACCGTCCCATTTCCAGGATGTCCGGCTCCTCGAGTTTGACATCGCGGGCTCAGGGATCACGTGAGCATTTTTCTGATCCCCCCAAGCTCTGTCATGTGGGACCAGGTGTCCTGGAGCCTGCCCTGCTCTTCCGTCACCCTTCCTCACTGATGTCTGAGGCTGCAGTCTTGTGGTCATGGTCCCTGCTGTGAGTCCCCATCCATGGAGTGGGGGTCCTGCCCATGGGTCAGCTCCCTTTGCCTGTCAGAGCAGTTGGTGGCACTTGGAATTTGCCTCCCCTGGAGTGGGTGCTGGTCGGGGTGGCCGTGCTGTGCCTGTGGCTCTGCCCCGTGGCTGTGCTTGGCAGCTCCCCCTGCATTCCCAGGTTCAGTGCGGGGGATGTGGTGATGATCCAGCCGCAGAACTGCCTTGAAGATGTGCAGCAGTTCTGCCAGCTGCTGCGCCTGGAGCCACACAGACGCTTTGTGCTGAAGCCCACGGAGCCTGGTAGGTCCTGCCTGCTGCTCCTTCCCCTTCCTGCTGAGACAGGGCATCCCCTGAGCTCTGGCCCAGGCTGGAGCTCCGCTCTTCCTTTGCTGTAGACCTGGTTGGGGGTGCTGGATGGACACAGGACACC